AGTGTATTTTTATATTAATATAAGTACATATTAATATAAAAATACACTTAGTATGGCATTATATATGATATATAGACATATATTATATAGATATAATATATGTCTATATATCATATATACACATATATAATTATTATTATTTTTTTTATTACCATTAACTTTAATTTTTTTTTTGATTTTACAGTTGCAGGGAGACTGCCTGTCAGTACAGGCAGTCCCCCTGCAGGCAGACACATGGACACCTATTGTGACCATGTGATGGCTGTGTTGAGCGATCACATGGCCACAGGGGTCCTAATCTGCCGTGGGGAGACTGTCTGGGCTGCAGGCAGTCTCCCCACAACCGGAGCCACGCTGATCGCCGCCGGGGGAACGACGGCGATCAGGTAAGTAGCCCCAGACCGTTTGGACGGTTCAGGACCGTCATCGGTCGGCAACGCAAAAATGCCGATGACGGTCCTGAACCGTCCTCGGTCCTTAAGGGGTTAAACAGAATTTGCAATAAAGAAAGCCTAAATAGGGCTCTCTTTACAGGAAGTGTTTATGGAAGGCTGTGCAAGTCACATGCAGGGAGGTGTGACTAGGTTTCATAAACAAAGGGATTTAACTCCTAAATGGCAGAGGATTGAGCAGTGAGGCTGCAGGGGCATGTTCTATACACCAAAACTGCTTCATTAAGCTAAAGTTGCTCAGGTGACTATAGTGTCCCTTTAATAAATATAAAATAAAATCCTATAAATGGTGGTGAAACATGCTACCTATGTGTTGATTCAATATTCCACTGGTTAGATTTGTATGTACAAACTGTATATACACACAGAGGGATATACTTACATGTATATGTACTATAGTTTTATACAGTAGTATAATTTATTAAACATTGTGCCTGAAAACTACTCTGGTTTTGCCTTGATAAATGTGTCCATCCTCCTACGTCTGGACACACACATTTAAAAAAAATATATAAGCTCATTCTAAATAAACCCTGATTAAGGATGATAGGAATTGCAATCCAGCAAAAGCTAGAGGGCACAACTTGCTTATTGCACTGCAGAAATGCATATACCTAGCTGCCGGTGGCAAGGTTCTATTGGTTTCCATGGTGATTGCTTTGCTTCAGTTTTAAAACTTTGCCCCAGAAGTTCTATTTGTGTCTCACTGACAGTACGTCAGCCCAGAACTCAGTCTCCACTGTGAGACGCTCTGTCTCTTTTTATCAACGCTCAGATCGCTTCTCTTATGTTCTTTGCCACTTGAAGACATCTTGCTGTATGTAACTCCCCCCGCCCCCTTTTGCTTCACTTTTGCAACTTTCTCTGTGCTGACATTTTTATTGTAACTATTATTTTGTATCCTTTGTCTGATTCCCCTCACATCTCAAGTTGTATTTATCCACCCCCCCCTTCCAGATCTGCAAGCAACATTCTTGTCTGTTTTTCCTGCAGTGGTTTGGCTTTCTTTGTCTTTACTTTGCAGGATATGTGAATGACTGGACACACCACTGCAGCTGTTAAAATTGAGATGAATCAGGATTTGCAACAATGCAGCCAATGTCCCACTGGCAATGAGTAGTGGGTAACGTTAACCCCTCCCTTCCTTCAAGTGCTGGCACTGAGACTTTCAAAGGGATAGTGAACTTGGAAACTCTAAGATAAGAAAGCATCTTGCTAAGTTCCTTCTCTAACTTCTCTTCGTAGGATACACATCAACAGCACGAGCAGGCAGCCTCAAAAATTCATTATATAATTACACCAGGGGGTCAGCAGGCTGAACAGAGATGCACGTGTAATTCTTGCAGTGGATACTGTACAAGTAAGTTAAGAAAGAAAAAGAAGACCAAAGTGGGGGAGTGACAGATGAGAAGTGCAGAATGTGAGACGTTGGGGCGAGGGAGGAGAGCGGAGGAAGGAAGCTAAAAACTGAAAAAGAGAAAATAGGACAATCTCTGTGGGTAGGAGACCTACAAAATAAAGAAGGGGACGAATTAACACGTGAATGAAGAAAGAAATGCCAGTGATAAGACAGGGTATAGTATAACATAGAGAATTCACTAGACAGATGTTGAAAGAAGCAGATGTTGGGGTTATTTTGACTCCCCGGTAAATCTACACTGAGCCCCACATTGCCCCACGTGCTGGAAATACGTGGAATGTGGTCAGAAGGAACAGTTTATGAAATGATTGAGCTGAAGCCTATGTTGCCGTGTGATGGACTAGACCTGGCACAGGGCACCAGAGGTGGGCATCGCTTGGAACGCACCAACGCGGTTCGGATTCCACCTGGCAGAGCTCCCCCCATCCTTCTGCGCAGTCTCCGAAGGAGAGGAGTCGAGGGGCAGAATAACACTGTGCCCAGTAAAGTAGGAGAGGGACACTACTTCAAACCAACCTCTCATACACAACATACCTGGTGCGACCTCTGTGGAGACTTTATATGGGGCATCTACAGGAAAAGCCTGCGTTGCACATGTGAGTATCTGGGGTGGCATAAAAAAGAAAAATGTCATAAAATTCACAATACATTAACATTTCCCACAGACATTTTAATATGGTAAAACTGCGTGAATAATCTGTTCATCATATTGAATATTATAGCACTATGTATCCGTAACTCCGCGTTTTATCAGAATGCATGCAATAAACTGAATATTGTGGAGAATCGACAAAAGAATTGGGAATATGTTTAAAATAGCCAAACTGGGAAACCTGTGAATCTGGAAAAGTTTCTCGGTTTATCTAATTTGGCCTAAAGCTTGCAATTCCCTTGTCAATGTTTGGCTTAGTAAATAATAAAAGGGTGGAGAGGATTTATCTCGTAGGGGAGATGGACACACATATATATATAAATAGAAATCGATAACAATGGGGGTTTTGAGTACATGCATCTACATTTTATCATCAATAATATTTGGATATGACATTTTGCAGTTATGAAATGAATGCTTAAAAGTTATACCAAACTTTATAAATAAAATACAACTATAACAACATCACCACCGGTAAACCCTGCCATTTACACTAGTGGTAAATCTATTATGTTCAGTGTTTCGTGCAAACGGGACTCCAAGCTGCATGATTCTGTATTCTTGGTCATGTGTTGAATTACAGTGCACAAACAGATGACATGAGTGACATTTCCAAGAGATGAAGCAGAGTATAGAACAGAACCAAAGGGACAGTTTAACCCCTTAAGGACACATGACATGTGTGACATGTCAAGACTCCCTTTTATTCCAGAAGTTTGGTCCTTAAGGGGTTAAGCTGGAAATGTAATCTTATTCATTTACGTGTTTATATTTGTGTGAGGATATTATACCTGTGTGTGTATTTTTATACGTCCTATTCTAAGAAAATATTTAGAAATGCTATAAAATGCCATATGTATAGGAAAATGAAGGATGAAAAACGCATAGATCATGAAGAAGATAGTGTTTAAAAATCCACTTGAGGTGGTGAGTGACTGCATAGAGAGAGGGTATCATTATTTATGTAGTTTATATTATACTTATACATCCTTATCTAGCGCACTTTGCATAGATTAGTAGTTATACAACAATGAGCACATGATGCAGTAGAGTAAGGAGGAATTGATGTTAATTGATAGTGGTGACTAGGGAAAGAACTAGATTTTAGGATGATAGGTACTGTAGTCAGATGTAAACACAGGGAGAAAGAATCACGGTTGGAAGAGTTAATCTGAGTTATACTGATGATTCTTATGGAATCCAGGGAATTATTTAGGAATACTCGGCTTGGAGGAAGACCATTCGGGTAGGAGGCTGAATGGATGTGATAAAAGCCATTTGTCCCAGGCAGAGGGTCACAGATAGAGAATGAATAGAACCAGGAACAAGCGGACAAAGGTGACAATAAATCCTCAAAAAGAGTGCTGTATACATTTTTTTTTAGTCAAGGAGTTCATACAGAGAATTGCTATTTAATATTGGAAGTGGATGATCCAGGGTATAATCCTGCAGCCTCTCAAGTCTTCAAAGGTTCCCCTGCCACATTTGTAAACAGATTTGGCACAAGTAGACAATTTTGCTTCTTCTGTCTCAACATCTTGGAAAGGTTGACCTTTAAAGACGATATTAATCATACAAAATATCCTGCTTTTTAAGGGCAAATTGCTAAATAAGAAGCAATCATCACTGCTTCAATATTTTTTTTTGCATTTTTCCCAAGGATTACAGCTGCTTTACCTTAAAATATATGGCCTTGCATTATTTGTTTCCCTCTCTCGTACATAACCCTGTCATTGAACTTGACATGAGTTACTAGTATACAATGGACATTAAGCAATGATTAGGCAGACGACCCATGGTTTTATGCAAATCATTGATGAGGTAGGGTTGGATGAGGGACAAAACCTTTGAAGGTCTACGGTCTCCCATTTTATTTTCTCATATATACTTCATGATAGGTTCATGCTACTTAAGGTATGGTTTACATAAGGTTGTTTTGGGTGGCTCAAAGTGCCAGTAAGCAGGGGCTGTTGCCCAGCATCTAGAAAGCAGTGATTTATTTCCACAGGCATGGGCCACTCTCCTAATTTCCTGGCAGAGGGTGAGACCAGGTCTATCTTCTTGTAAATACTTTGTTTTAATAAAGTTGCTGATAATATTTTCACTTTTCCCTTCCTTCCCCTTTTTCCACACCGCAATGAGAGATGCTCTGGAGGTGTTACATTGCCATAGTCGTATTTGCTGGCTCAGTTCTAATGCACATACTGACCGCTTCTTTTAGTCGGTTCCCATGACAATCAAAATTGTGACAGTTCTGTTCAGGGACTTGTTAGATCCCATGTGATAGGGAGCCAAGTTAGGTTGCTGCGGAGATTTATAGATAACTTTGGATTGTCGATGTCTGGGGGGAGAAACCCCCAAACACAACAGACTACATATTGTATTCTGCTCTTCCTGGGACCTATTCCTGCATAGATATGTTCCTAACTACCCATAGAATAATTCCGCTAGTACCTAGATCAGATATTCACTATAGTTCATGGTCTGATCATGCAGACATTGCCATTCACCTTAGGAATCTGCTTTCCCAAGCCCAGAGGTCCTGGAGATTCAATTCCTCCATGCTAAAAGATCAGGCTTTGGTGAAGGAGGTAACCCAAGTAATCCAGGACTAGAGGTCCTCCCATCCACAATATGGTCAGTCAAAAAGGACATTTAATTAAACTTGCCACCCATAGGAAGAAGGTAAAGACACAAGCCACTTTTGATTTGCAAAGAGCCCTATATAAGGCAGAGGCAAGACCAGGGCCAGATTAACAAAGGGGCTGATGGAGCTGCAGCTCCAGGCCCAAGTCCATAGAACAGGCCCATTGATTTAAAAAAAAAAAAAAAAAAATATATATATATATATATATATATATATTTTTTACGCATTACTCTTAGCATTGCCAGGTATTTCTCAGGTTTTTCTTAGTGTTGCCAGGTATTTCTCAGAAGTATTTCTCAGGTATTTGAGTCTGCCTAGCCGGTGCCGGTATTGCAGTAATACCGGCAATACAAATGTCAGTCTCAGTATGAACAGAGATTTTTCTGCAATACCTGCGCTGGCCAGTAGGGGGTCGCTGTGTGTGTGGAGAGAGGCAGGGATAAAAAGTTACAGCATCTCCCTCCCTGCCTCTCTCTACTCAATGATCTGCGGAGGAGCAGCTATGCACAGAGAGTCCAGACAGCAGCTCCACTGGGAGACATGGGGATACAAACACTAGGGGACACTGCGTGATATGGGGACACTAGGGGACACTAAGACACATAGGGACAAAGGGATACTGGGCGACTTTGAGACATGGGGCACTGGGGCACTCTCCCAGCCAGTGTCCCTAGTATCTCAGTATCCCCATGTCTCCCAGTGTCCCTGGTGTCTGTGTCCCCATGTATCTGTGCCCCCATGTCTCTCCCAGTGACACTGGGAGACATGGGGATACAAACACTAGGGGACACTGGGCGACATGGGGACTTGGGAGACATGGGGCACACTTTTAGTAACTAGAGCCCTGAGGATTCAATCTTTTTGTCTTGTTTTATAAACTCCTTTATTCCCCAGACCAAATATGATCCTAAAAGGTTTCCTGAGAATGTTTATTATGATAAGAATTGCAACAAAATATATAGAGACACAGGATCTGCCTTTGTTATATATTGGAGCTGCCAGACAAAATCCTGTAAATAAAGAGACAACAGGCCAGGACGCAGCAAATGAAATCAGGATTTATGCAGAGTTTCTATTGCAATTAACGATTTATGCTATTATGCAGAGTTTCCTGTATTAATGCTGCTAACACAATGAACAACTGCATTTAAAATGTTCTATAATAGCACGTCATTGCATTATGTGAAGTTCCAGTATACAGCTCTGAGTCCCACAGATATAGTGGTGTATATTTATTTGGAAAAAGGAGGTAAGCCCCACAATCCTCAGGCTGGCTAAACCTAAGCCCTCTGAATCTCCTCACTAACCATTACAGCAACAATAACAATGGCATTGTTGTAATGTTATCAAGTGTCATTCAGGGCAGGTTAGGACAAACATTTGTCCCGGGCATTTATAGGAGTCGGTATGTTGTAATAATACCAATGACATGCACACCCATTTTTAGAGCCCCTTCAACACAGCCCATGTGCAGAGCTCTACTGAAGAACGCTCGCATTGGGGACAATGTCCTGTTTTGAGCACAGTGCAATGGGACTTTATGACAATTTTGCTTTGCATTTGCTAGAGATTTGTCTCTGGTGTTTGCATAACTGGGATACAAGAGGAGAAAAATGGACAGGGCTAGGTGAGGGTGTTATGTGTGGGGAGACTACCTGTGGTATTGTATGTGTTTGGAGGGTTTTTGTTGGTGGGATGAATCTCCATGTGATTTCATATACAGGGTTATTTCTAGTGTGGATGTCAGGAAACCTACCAGGTGGGATTTGAACCTTCGATTCCTACTTTCGACTGCTGTACTGCTTGCTGTGCCACTGTGGAATCTGTTATCTTAGAGTGATTCCCAAGGGTTGTCTGTTTGATTCTGACCCACCTGATATTTTGTGATTGCTTGTTTATGTTGGGCACCTGTGGTTAAAACGGGTGCTACCATTCTGATTGAATTGCTCCCGACAAGCAAGAGCCAATCTGAAACATGACATCCCTATTTAAGGAGGGCTATCTGGCTGCTTTGAGACCTTTCCAGAACCTTTGTGATATTTTGTCCTGATCTAGAGTCTCTGTTATTATGACCTGACTTACCTGTCTACGTTCTGCTTTCCTGCCCCTGTGTGCCTGACCTGGCCTGTTTGCCTTTCACCTGATTTTGTGTTCCAGTCCCTGGCTTGTCTGACTTCCTGTCCTGTGTTCCAGTCCCTGACTTGTTCCTGACATTGTTTTACTCTGAGCTCCTGACTCTAGCCTGTGTCTGGTATTGTTTTATAATTTGCCTCTCTCCTGGTCTGTAGTCTTTCCTGTTACCTCATAGTTCTACCTTTACCATAGAACAGCCACTCTCCTTTCTCTCTGTCTTTGTCTTTGTTAGGTCGCTGCCTCTCACCTTGCTGAGACTCCTATAGACAACCCAGGCAGTGGGAAAGGCTGCTAGTGGTATTGGGTATGGGTTGAGAGGCACCTAGTGGGGTTGCATATACATGGATGGGGCTGTTTGCAGTGTAGTATGTGTATGTGAAGAGGGGCAGCTATAGAATCAGGACAGGTGGGTGGTCCTTCATGGAGCATTTCCAGAGATAAAACTTTTGTCACTGGTGACATCCATAATTGGAGGTTATGCTCGGGTAGTGAGCATGCTTGCTCACAGAAGAGGCATGTCAGTCTGGTGTCAAGCATACCAGGCTGATCAACAACCCTAAGGCAGCCCCTAACATACATGACTATACAGAAAGCATTGCGGCATGGTCCAAGTGTCTGCTGCACAGCAAGAGTAGTCTACTGATTAGGAAGTGATGTGCTGCCTAGTGACAGTTCCAGATGTGGGACAATAGAGAACTAAATTGGGACAGTTCAACGAACAGGAGCCTGGGGAGAGGGCTGTTTGTGATATAGTGTGTGTGTGGATACATGGAGGGTAGGGACTGTAGTTTATGGGAGGGACTAAGGCTGTAGTTTTTGGTAAGAGGGAATAGAGACTGTAGTTTGTGGGGGGACAGATATTGGCTGTATTTTCTGAGGGAGGGGTAGTGGTTGTATTAATATGCGGTATGCAAAAAAAAAAAAGTTTTCATTAAAAATAAACTCCTAAACCTCTTCTTTTTGTTTAAATTGGGCTGGGGAGAGGAAATGCCAAGCCCTGGTGGACTAGTGTAAGGAGCATCTAGTCTGCACCTCCACTTCTGTTGCTCCTTTTAGTTTCGGTCTATTAAGTGAATCAGAGCCTTGTTGTGGTATCCCTCAGCAATATTCTGATAGGCTGGCAGGAGCAATACACATAGTCTGCATATGCTGGAGGTGCAGACCATATCCTTCCTGCCCCTCCTCTATATGTGCATCGTTGATCTCCCCACTGTCCCACAAAGGGATAGAATTTCCTCTGTGAATGATTCAGGCAGGAAGATCGTTCCTGGTATGTTTGATGGCCAGTCTGTACCTGGAGTAATTTAAATTAAGATTAGCATTTACAATGATGCATTTTTCTGATTACATTTTTAAATAGATACCAGTAGGTCCAATTCATCAACTGATCAGTTACTAATGGTGAGTTTACTCATGACTGGAGTGCAGAAATAATCTTAAAATGTGAATCTTTGACAAAAACAAGAGTTTGAGAGTGAGAATGCACCACAACTCAAATAATTAGCTTTTTGTTGTGTCCTTTCTCAGATTTTAGCTCCCATGTGCCATTACAGATTGAACCCTAGCCTGTCGCGTATCAAGACTGATCCCACCTACCATGGTAGTGCCAGCGGGTTTCCTCTGCACAAGTTTTTCAGCCTTACTATAATGTGAATATTGTCACATAAATATTGCCACATAATAATATGGAAATCTTTGAAACTGATTGCATACATTTTATGTGTTTATTCACAAAAATGTAATTCTAGACTTGATTGTCCCTTTAAGAGATTACATCATTTCAAAGTCAAAACATTCAACACAAAGAATTTATAATAAAGAGTTAAACTGGTGACGATCTATAGAGACAAAATTGACTGAAGACCTTAGCTGGCAGAAAACAGAAGTAAGGGTATAATTAGTTAAAGATGCACTGGTTTCATAATTAACAGGACTCTCATCTGGTTTCATTTTGATTAATGGGTGTTTAATTATATAAACCACTTCAGTGACTCCTTTAACCAAAATAGCTCACTGCATGCTGATAACGCCAGATTAACATGTGTTGTCCTGGGTTTGTTTAAAGCAACACTCCAAGCACCATAACCACTGAATCCACTGTAGAAGTTGTGGAGCCAATCTGTTAAAGAACGGTTTGACAACTTACCCAGTCCTGCTCTTCGTCCGCTGCCACAACCCCTGCTGTAAGACTGCTATTGTAATTGCTGGGATTTAGGACTTTACAGCTGAGTTTCTGACCCAAATAATTAGATAAATGTTCAATTCATCAGTTTGGGGACGATACATTTGCAACTTGCAGTTTGTGCATTTTAGATAAACCAAACCAATATAATCTTAGTTAAAAGGTTTTAATAATTTTATTAACTCAAATATATATTTATTTTCATCGGCTGAATATCAGCATCAGTTTTAAAGCATGTAGTGTGTGTTTTCTCATACACAACTACATCAGTGATTAATCTGTGCTTCAGGTGGTCTGAGTACCAAGTTCATGGTTGGCACTTAAACTTGTGAAGCCCCACTATTTTGCATTTATGTTTCACCCTCCATTTGGCCAGTGAACATAATCTAAAATCTCAGTTTCAGCATGTTAATATTCTCAGGCAGTACTCTATTAATATTTGCAGCATTATTACCCACAAGCTAGATCTTGACCCACAGTAATTGCCAACATAGTTTCTCTTTCTAGCACAATTAGTCCTGACCAAATCAGCTATTTGTACATTAGGGAAATCGTACAAAATGGGAATTCACATTAAATTCAATGGTGCATTACATTAAAGTAGGTGAATTAAGGAGGTGGGGCCTGACGCAAGTTGTTCCAGCTCTTGCATTTCTATGCAAATATTGCAGGAAAAGCTGTAAAAAGTGACCTCCCCTCGACACATCTTGGCTGCCAGGCGAGAGGTGACCCCAAAGTGCTCACAACGGCACCAAATCCGAAGTCTGTCCTTTGGGATTCGCCTAAACGCTGAATGCGGCCTGCAAGCATGGTCAGCGTGGGGGAGATGGCTGCTCCCTTGCCGCCACACATGGCTGCAATCTTGGAATTGGGTCATCGTTGTCCCCTCTGGACCGGTGGGGGTTATCTCGGTCCCAGGAGAACGTCCCTATGTTCAGAGGCAACATTCCCATCGGGAGATTATCACACCGAATATAGCAGAGGTAACAACCCAGCCTTCTGCAGCAGTAGAGCCACGCTCTATCACCCAATGGCTGGATGATATATTTGAAGCGTTTTGGCTCTGCATTACTGAGAGACAGAGGAGCTTCTCAGTGATCCCTCAACACTGCTGACCGTGCAGGAGACCTGGCCGGGCCGATGGAAGCTGACACATCGGGTAGCCGGGACATTGTGCAGGGACCCTCCACAATAGAGGGTGAGGATCCTACTACCATGCATAGCACCCCTAAATCAGGGCAGAAGATTACTATTGAGGGCTACCACGCCAGAGAACGCTCACCTGCCCTATACTCACCATTCATGTACTCAGCCTGTGCTGTGTTGATGTGGCCAAAAAGAACCAAGCTTGAAATCATACCACCTGCCTTACTGGACCTTGTCCTGATCCTGGCCTCAAAGGACTTGTTCTCACAGTTCCAGCGGCTTTGCAGACTAGGCATCGGCTGATCCCAGGCAACATGGGGGGCATTTTGTTTATCTTTCATGTGTCATGGGGATGACTCCTGTATTCTCATTTTCTACTCTATATTAGTCTTGTATAGTACAAACAGTTACCTCTGTATGACAATATGACAAGCCTGTTTAACTACAGATATTTCTAACTAACACCTTTCATGCAATCCATCCATAAATAGTCATACTTTCCTATTAGACTACCTTAACTGATTTCTCTATCTATTTGAACAACATTTTCTTTTTATTAGAATATGCATGAGCATGTTTCTTTCACCAAAATTGTGCTGTTATTTCAAGTGCCATGACATTGTCTATTCTGAATTTTCTTCATAAGCTTGTACCTGCAGTTGTGGTATTACAAGCATGTTTGTAACTCTCAGCATGGAAAAATAAAGATTAACAAAAACAGGTGAATTAAAACAGGTGAATTCACACAGGCAAATTTCATTCCAGCGTATTCACACAGGCAAATTTAATTCCTAAAAGAGGGCTTAAGAAAAATAGACTTAACTTGTAACACTAAAATTGAAACACCATGAATATTACTATGGTTTATGGTAATAAACATTTTCATTGTAGCACAATGTTGTATAAATGCAATTTACAGCTTCCAGGTTTCCAAAATTGAGGTGCGCATTAGCTTCGATAATGCATTAGATTCAAATAAATACGGTATATATTCTTAAAAACAATGTTTATATTAAAGGACCACTATAGTGCCAGGAAAACAAACTCGTTTTCCTGGCACTATAGTGTTAATAGGTCCCTCCCACCCTGATGGCCCCCCTCCCGCCGGGCTCTAGGGGGAGGAAGGTGTTGAAGGCTTATCTTTCTTCAGTGCCGAGCTCCCTTGGCGCTGGGGACTCTCCTCCCTCTTCCGCCGAATGCGCATGCGCGGCAACAGTCGTGCGCGCATTCAGTCAGTCCATAGAAAAGCATTCTCAATGCTTTCCTATGGACGCTGGTGTCTTCTCACTGTGAAAATCATAGTGAGAAACACGGAAGCGCCTCTAGCGGCTGTCAATGAGACAGCCACTAGAGGCTGGATTAACCCTAGTGTAAACATAGCAGTTTTTCTGAAACTGCTATGTTTACAGCTGTAGGGTTAACCATAAATGGACCTGGCACCCAGAACACTTCATTGAGCTGAAGTGGTCTGGGTACCTATAGTGGTCCTTTAACTCCTTAAGGACACATGACATGTGTGACATGTCATGATTCCCTATGATTCCAGAAGTTTGGTCCTTAAGGTGTTAAAGAACTATCTTTGTGTGTTGCAGAAATCGATTATTTTTTTTGACGCGAATGCACTATAGCCTTGTCAAATTTGATGATCTCAGCCACCATGGAGGCTGGACTGAGCCAGCTGCAACAAGACTGGCGCAACTCTGGAATAAAGGTAAGTAAACTCGCCTTTTAATGGGAGGCAATGGGGGCGCAAGCCTAACTATTGTTATTACAACTATTGTGCCAGAAACACGTGTGTATTCCTGACACTACAGTGTTTCTCTAAGACGTCAACAAAATAAAATGCAATAACAAGCAAGTGGCTAATTGTTTTAGCCAATCACTGTTCTCCCAAAGAAACATATGGGAGCAGCACAAAGTATATATGCTTGCTACATTCAGCCAATCACTGTTCATTACAACATTTAGGTGTGCCTACTGAAAGCACTCAGGGCCCACAAAAGAAACTGAATATTTGTCGACATATTAGTTTTGTAGATTCATATCATTCTACACCGGCAGAAACACTGATCTGAAAGAATTGAAGGGTAAATTGTGACATCAGCCTGCTTGTTGGATCACACACTGAGGAAGTCCATACAGACTTCATAGCTGTACGAATATAAACAGGAAGGCAGCATTTAATGTTTCACAATTAATCGGATGATTCAAAGCCACATGCAGTCATTATAGTTATGTGATGATACAAACATAATAATTAACAAGAGAATTTAAACTTCTACAACAAAATGGCTGAACTGAAATACATCACCAGATTATACATGTCCACTATTCTGATCCACTATTCTGATCTAAAAATTTCAATTCCTTTGTCATCTATCAACTATTTATGTTCAGGCTATAAAGCCAACCAGATCAGGGATAACTGAAATTAAGACCCCCAGACCATGCTTCTCAACTTTGGGAGGTATGTAAGAGGAAGAGCATAGGGCCATGGCAGGATGCATATCAATAACACAGTTAGCCTCAATGATGACAAGAATTGGGGCATAGCAATATGGCATGCACGCAGGCTAGGCTGGCTGGCAGCTGTAGTGGCCAGCCCACCTCAAGAATATTCCACATGCAGAGGATTCCGGAAACACTCATAAGTGTAAATAAGGATGTGCCCTTTCTCTGGTGTCCCAAAGGAACACATTCAGACACACATTTGAACAGGGTTTAGAGGTTGATCAAGAAGGCAGCCAAACAAGGCACAAATGGTCTGAAATCACTTACCGCAGCTGAAAGTGGATTTAACAATCGGGATAAATGAGCAGCCTCCTATACCTGACATTCTGCTCACTTCCCAAAAACTTCAAGCAGAAGAAGAGAGTTTTTAAAGGTACACTTCATGCACCACAACCACTGCAACCCATGCGCTGGCCCAGTGTAATTTGTCAAACTGTTGTAGTACTGTTTGACATCTTATTTGGGTTCTCCTTTAGAATAATCTGGTTATCTCTAGTGTGTTAACCAGGGCCATGCTCATCAGGTCAGTGTTCTCAGCCAATGAGTGAAGGCTTGTATCTGCTGTGCTGTTCTGCAGGAGAAGACTGGGTGTAGTTTGGGAGCCCGGGGCACCAATATACATTTTGGCATGTATATATTAGGATCTGGGCATTTATTTTTTTTTTACATATCTGTAATCTGCAGGCTGAAACAGTTATTTCCTGCCATGAGAGAGACGTTTTCAGATATTATCAATACATAAGATACAAAGGCAGTTATATAGTAATCTAGATTGAAAAAAAGACCACCAAGTTCAATCAATAATGGATTACAAGTATATATGGCCTCATGTACAACACTGCGCCAGTTAAATTAATTGGAATTTTATGCTCTGAATGTATCAGGCACTGACAAGCACACAATCTATATTCAAAAATAAAAACAGTGCAGAAATAAAACACAACTAATAATGTTTAACCTTTTAAACTCATCTCACTTTACCAATTTCTCTGGCAGCCTCCTTTCCTGATTAACTGAAGCCATACATTGATGTTCTCCAGCCTCCACAAGTTAAAAATGTTTGTATTTACCTCTGTATTATAGTTATAGAAGTAAAAAAAGACGACAGATATGGCCAGCGAAATGAATGTGTGAAGTCACTCACCCCAAATTCCTATGCTTATTGGGCATTGTGCTATGTAGCAAAAACATTATTTGAGGGTTTGGGTAAACACATATACTTGTCTCTTCAGCTGAATGTTTGAGCAGGTTGTGGCAACTTTGAAGTAAGTGCAATTTTATATGTACAATTTCTGGGAATTTTGCTAGTACTATGTGTGACGAAACATCGTCACTGAATGCCATCCCCAAGCGCCGACTGGTGCAAGTAGGGTTTCCGCCCTTTCTCCTGATTGGCCGCCACGTATTTTAGGCACTCTGTGGAGCTCCTTTCAGGTATGTACAGAGCCTCAAGCCCAGACTTTGTACAGTGATTTCTCGGGCTCTGTACATCCGATAGCTCAGCTATTTGCAGGGATCATAGCTGGGACCAGGAGCTATTTGGGGATGTATGGCATTTGGGGATGCGTTACTGTATTGTGGGTATTTTCGTGGTTTTGGTGTGTTCGGCTTCCTGGGTCCGGGAGATACCATTATCTCCCAGACATAGCGACGCCTGGGCGGGCTTATGTTTTCATGTTACTTTGAATGGAGACCTCCTGCTGGGGGTCTGTGCATAAATACCATGTATCTTGCCTGAAATAAACAGTTCTATTTCACCCTTCACTAAGTCTCGACTAGTGCTTGAGTGATACCATGATTGCCCTCCTGCAAGCGACTATAACTACTGGCTAGCCGCTCTAATCACTCTAGCCCCCGGGCACAACAAGGAAGGGGCAACCACAGGCGGGAGTAACCCATCCTCGAGAGGGTATACCGCCACACTATATATGAAATATGTGCATAAAAATGTTGACCTTCTTATCTATATACGTTTTTATATTTTATGACACTTACGAGGAAGCACTAAAATTGCATTCTAATTTAGTGAATCTGACAAGCTACCCATGTGGACTGATATTTTACTCTCTTATACTCTAAATTAACAGTGTTGTACAGATCTTTAACTGAAACATAATAGCTGAACTCTTGACTAGCCTAGATCATCATGTGATGATAAATGTGACATTTTTAAAAATAAATCAAGAATTTCCAGTGGAGAGAGTGTTCAAGTAGATAATTGTGGAGTCCACGCTTGAAATGATGTTTTCAAAGGAGATGTACTATCAATAAAGTAAAACAATTTGGAGAAGGCCTGTCTAGGACAATGAAGCCTTTGTGTTGGAGTTGTGGAAGAAGAAATCATGTGAAATACAAGATAGTTTGGAAAAAGTCAGGAGTGGAAACAGAAGAGAATGATAATCCTCAATTCATTATTAATGTTGGACTTTTACTGTGTAACAGTATTATATATTGGCTGAAAGTCTCCTCAATTGAAGGATTTAAGTGTGCTTGGATTGAGTCAACGATCAGACATATTCCAGCAAGATCTACAATGTAGATCATTGTAGGATAACGGTTATATGAAAGAGCTACACTGTAAGCAATCTAAAATTAATATTCTTGGAAAAGCTTGCTATTTAAAGAAATGTACTTATCCAGTAAAAGAAGCATGATATTGACTGTGCTTTGACTATAGCATGTTTGGGAGCCACGCAAAATATATATCTTCACTACCGTCTTCAGAATGTTTGTTCCAAATCTTAAAGGGACACTGTAGTCACTATAAGCATTTCATCTCTTTGAATTGGTTATAGTGCCTGGAGTACCCTGGCACTGTCCCTCCATTCAGGGTTGCACCATGTTCGTGCAGTATGCCACAAAATAAGAGCCCCTGGCCACCCACAGTCTGGCCCCTTCAGTATGTGTAGCTAAGGCAGAGATTACACACTTCCTTGTTGTCATACCCACTCATACCGTCAGTTGGAGCTCTGACAGGCTAAAAGCAGTCAGCTGACACTCTCAGCCAATCACAGCTGCCCATTTCTGCTCAGGCTAATACTTCCTTATTAGCCAAAGCAGCACAGAGGGGATGGATTGCCGGGGACTCTTGTTTAGCATTAAAACATTAAAACTTTAAAAACTGTTTAATGCTGATAGAAATGTTGGGACCAGAAGACTCCAGACACTATAACCAGTTTAATGAGATGAAGCAGATACAGTGCCTACCGTGTCCCTTTAAGATTCTAAGATTCTAGATTCAACAAAAGGAAGAATTGTTGCAGCCGGGCAGTATGATATGTGCCTATTGGGTTGCTCTGACTTAAAATAAATTTAGTGTAACTTTAACCCCGGCTGGATGCATTATGGGCCAGAACAAAATAATAAGATTAGGTGACAGTAAAGTGCTTTGGTGTACGAAACGCGTAGATCCACTATACTCTGAGCCTGTCTATTGGATGTCAGTGTGATGATTTTAATCCAAATGTGGAAAATAAAGGGGAGTTAATTACTGTGTAATGTGCAGTAACTGATTATTCCTTAGAATCACTATTCTATATCTTCATTTAGCAATACTTTGATTAACCATTTTTTTATTTATTTTTTGGTGGCAACGAGGTGGGAATTTTTCATTCATTTATTTTGAAGAACGCCAAAGCAATGACTCTTATTGCCAGTATTTGAATACCGTGAACTGCAGGAGTGAAGGTACTTCAATCCGGTGTTTATTATAAATGGGTTTTCCATCTTATAGGCCAGTTATTCGCATTAATCCTGTGTCTCCAATTCTGTTAACATAGTAGATTGTAGATATACGTCTTGTGTGTTGTGTGACCCCTTGATAGTGAGTGTTTTCAATTGAAATTGGAGCAGGCATAGAATAGGGCAATGAGGCTCAGCTTGCACTGTAACCTGAAAGATGCCAGCCTCACTATCCTTGGTGTACTTACAATATTCACCTTATGTCTTATATTTGAGATGAGACCCAAGCAAGTCATCAGGCAATCATCTGGTTTTTTTTTAAACAAAATTTTGGACCTGATTCGCTGGGTTTTCAAATTAGATATCTAAAGTTAGATTGCATTGTGTGAACCTCTGCTGTTGTTGTTTGTTAGAAATTCTATGTGCAGGGCCTGATTTCCCATTACGCAAAATAGGTACCTGCCTACAGGCGCCTGTCCAGTAAAGGGGGCCTATTTACAGCAATTATAATGTGCCTTTTTGGGATTTTATATGCTGATGGGGAGATATAACTACCAGGAGACTTGACCAGTGTCCTCTGTAGGCCATTCAGTCCTAATAGCAGAGCTGCAGAAACATTTGTAATATTCCATGCTGCCCCAGCTCCTCCAGTGTCTGAGTGTGAGACTGGACAGGAAGTGGAAGGGATCACTTCCCATCTGCCCTCTATCAGCCTCTCACACAGGAAATGCCTTGTAGGAGGAGCAGGGACAGCACTGAGTGATACACACTGTATAACAGCTCCTGCAACTCTACTATCAATCTTAGCAGACTGACTGGTTTACAGCAGACAAAAGAGGTTGAGCACTTTGCAATTAACTGTTCAATCTCCACATGCCCTAAACACCCCTTTTCTCTAACCCCTCACAAAACCTAAAGAAACTACTTTTTTTTTTGGCACCAGCTTAATGTAGTGGTTCTGGTGTCTATAGCTTGTTCCTGCAGGCTAAATAATGTAACTGCTGCCTTTTCAGAAAAAGGCAACATTTACATTGCTGCCTAGTAACACCTCTAGTGGCAGTCACTACGACAGCCACCAGAGGCGCAAAAGCCTCACCATGCTTTCCTGTGGGAAACAATTGGATTGGCTAAGATCATCAAGATTGATGATCTCATCCATGGAGCCAGGGCCAGCTGCGGTGAGGGCGTCCGGGAACCCTAATAGGTAGTTCAAAACTATAGTGTTAGAAATGCAAACACAATAGTGTTCCCTTAAGCACTCAAAGCGTAAAACTGAAAATATACCCTTTACCTTAATCCCATGTTTACATCCTTTTAAAAATTAAACACCCTATGTATCCCAATACAAAATTTAGTTCAGATCTAAACATAATAATCCTAAATGGTTGTGTCCATCATTAGGTATAATTTTTTTTCAAAAAATAATAATAAAAAAAACATGCACTGCATACAACAGGTAATAACGAATAAAGAATGCTATGTAAGAATGGTGTCCGTTTTTGTAAGTATAATAGAGTTGGCTGCTCGTTAATGCATAAAATTGGCGTATAGTAATATAATAAAGTAAAATAATGAGAACAATGACTGGTCAAAAAAACAATAGAATAAATACATTGAAACACTAAAATAAAATAATGCAAACCATAGGTTGTCGGAAAAACATAGCATAGAGAGGCTGCTGAGGGTTTTTATGGGGGGGAATGAATGATCAAAAATACAGCCCCATGGATCTTAAGTATGGGGTAAGGACTCTGGTCAGCAAGCATCTATACTATATTTATATATATATATTATACTATAGACTCTAAGTTCGTTTGAGCAGGGTCCTCTTCAACCTATCATTCCTGTAAGTTTTCTTGTAATTGTCCTATTTATATTTAAATCCCCCCTCTCATAATATTGTAAAGCGCTTGTAACGGATCACCTGGCTCCCCGACTGGGTACCTCTGTTGAAGGATGCTCCTAGCGCTTCCTTAGGGCTCCAAGCACTCCAGCCAACACCATAACCACTGTAGCTCCTTACAAGAGCTTAGTAGTGATATAGCAAGGGAGTATAACTAGCATAGCAATCCCTTGTAGCAGATTCCCCCAATAAGAGACGGCACTCCAAATTGAGGGTGAAGTAGAACTGCCAGAGCTGTGGGTTTATTGTTCTTATATACACATTCTTACACATTAGTCCCACCCACATGGTTTTGTAAAACAACCAATAAACACGTACAACACACTCAGACATTCCCACACAAAATCCTCCCCTCTGCCTGTGATACAATTACCTTACACAATGGGTTAATGTAATTATCACAGGCAGGAAAATACACAGTTTTACACAATAAACATAACTTTAAAAGTATGCATCAAGGACTGCCGTTGGGGTACCACAAGCATGTATGTTAAAACCATATGCACTACAAAAATAAAGAATAATAAAAAAAAAAAGTATGCATCACATTCACATAACATTTTCAGAATCAGCATACTCCAAATACAAACATACGTCATAATCATACAAATTGGTCCAGTGGGTCAAAGTTAGATCGATGTCCTTTGTGACCAAATGAAGCATGGCTTTTCTGCCCAAAACCGTTTCCACAGAGTCTTCTATCCTGGAGATAATTGGCAAGGACAGAGGCAAAACTCCATTAGCCACATGGTAGCAAAAGACAATAAAATACATAAATATATATAACTGTGCAGCTATTGCATAAAACAGGTACATTCAGATCTGAATCACATTATTACTGAATGGCGCTCAGATCACATATATACAGTTCAATTGCCATGGAGCGAAAGTCTTTCACATAGTCTTTTGTTATATGAATGGGCTCCATGGCATAGCTATCTGGGGTATCACTGTTCAAATAGGGAAAATGCCGAATGACCCGGCTTTCGGGTCTTTGCAGGGGAAAATCAAGCATTTCAACATGGGGCCATAGTCACAGGGCAGGAGGCTGGCAGTCAGTCTTCTCCAATGCCCAGTGACAATGCCCAGTATGTAGCAGCGCTACATAATCTGTTGGCACTATATAAATGGCAATAATAATAATAATACATCTGCTCTATAATCCCTGAGTACTGGGGGACAGGCATGTAGCCAAACTATAATTACTTTTTATATAATGTGAGTAAAAAGAAAATCATAACAGCATTTAAAGGATCACTGTAGGGTCAGGAACACAAACATGTATTCCTTACCCTATAGTGTTAAAACCACCATCTAGCCCCCCTGGGCCCCTCATGCCTCCATAAAAATAACAAAATCTTACTGTATTCAAGCATGAAGCTGTAGATCTGCATGCTGTTTGCCTCAGAATAGCAAGTTGTCTGCTGACATCATCAGAAATGGTAGCCGGATCCAATCACAATGCTTCCCCGTAGGATTGGCTGACAAAAAGGCAGATCAGGGGCAGAGCCAGCATGATTCAAACACAGCCCTGGCCAATCAGCATCTCCTCATAGAGATGAATTGAATCAATGCATCTCTATGAGGAAAGTTCAGTGTCTGCATGCAGAGGGTGGAGATACTGAATGTTTTGATGCATTTTAGGCAGCCATGACCCAGGAAGGATCTCTAACAGCCATCTGAGGAGTGGCCAGTAAAGTTATCACTAAGCTGTAATGTAACATTTTCTCTGAAAAGACAGTTTTTACAACAAAAAGCCTGAAGGCAATGATTCTACTCACCAGAACAAATTCAATAAGCTGTAGTTGTTCTGGTGACTATAGTGTCCCTTTAAGCAAAGTAACTTAAAGAGACTCTCCAGTGCCAGGAAAACAAACCGTTTTCCTGACACTGCAGGTCCCCTCTCCCTACCACCCCCCCCCCATTCCAGGTTGCTGAATGGGTTAAAACCCCTTCAGTTACTTACATGTATCCAGCATCGATGCATTAGACCTCCCCATAGGAAAGCATTGAATAATGCTTTCAATGCTTTCCTATGGGGATTCCAGGTCAACCCAAAGTTTCTGCAAGGAGCAGACATGCCAATTCACCAGTCTATTTAAATGTGTTGCTTAATAGTATGTGAACAACACCAGTACAACCGACCCACCCATACTCTTTAGCGAAACTAGCTGGGATTACCTGATTCTTGCCACCCCCTGTTCCAAACAAACCGGCGGGTTACTACCATTAACAACTGAAAGAACGCCCTGATGAGTTCCTCAGGAATAGTGTTTAACAGGTACAAGACGTGAAGTAAGATGTTCATCTTAACCTCATTGATGGGGCCAAGCCATGAAATAAAGAGTAACACGCAATTTAAGTTCCTCATCTATGTTATTAGTCACAGCGGCTCCTTGCTGTATAACTTGTCTGTCACATTCCAAAATATATTGAAAGCTTTTGAGGATGAGTCTCACTGCCACTGGATCTGTCTTTTGCATTTGTCATTTTATGTTTATAGTATTGTTTAATTTGTTGTCTTTTTATTAAATGCATTATTATATGTGTAATACTGCGGTTTATTCACTAATTGTAAAGAAATTACAAAAAAAGGATTTGAAAACATTTTCTAAACGTGTTATTTTCCTATATCACATATTTTAGTCTATATTTAATAACTGATCATTTAACTAATGGTTTAGTGCACCTTTCCTGTATGGTGCTGATTAGTTGTGGACTTCCCAAACAATGCTCACAGAATAAATGGAAAAATCAGTCATAAAACCACAAACTATTAGAATAGTGCACTTAGCACCACCTAGAGGTCAGAAGGAAAATAGCCATTCATCAAATTCCTATTTCTTTTCAAATATTTTTTAAAGGTTTTATATTTTTACATCAACATATGCAATACTTTTATATTGGATACATATAAGACAAATTGTATATGGAGATACATACATCAAATGTACAAAAAGAGTAAAAACAAAACCACAACAAAAAATGAGTTTATAGTAACAACAATAAAATTACTTCATTAGTCATGAGCCAATCTAAGCTAATAAATATGTATGTATATATACCAAAAATACAAGTAGCTCCTGCACTCACGCTCCAATGTCCCTTACTAGCCGGGTGCAAACCAAAGACAGCTTCAATATCCAAGAAAATCCAATTGTATGGCTGCACTCACGGTTTAAAAGTCCAAAGTTTAATGAAAAAAACGGTTTAAAACATCAAGTGATCAACGTTTCAGTCATATAAGACTTTCATCCTGATGAAAGTCTTATATGACTGAAACGTTGATCACTTGAAAGTTGATCACTTGATGTTTTAAACCGTTTTTTTCATTAAACTTTGGACTTTTAAACCGTGAGTGCAGCCATACATTTGGATTTTCTTTTATGTATATATATATATATATATACACACACACACACACACAATTGTTTAATTCTAAAATCTTACTCTACTAGCCAGTTCTTAAAACATTACTTCCCATTGCAGCCTGGAGAATCCATGTTGAATTTACAGAAGCGGATTTCTACTCACCAGGGCTAAAATTTGAACCCTAAATATATGTGTGTGCACTGGGCATTGATGCTTGCACTCCTGGATTAGAATATCAATGCCCGTTGCTGGTCAGGCACAAAATACAGACAAAAATAAAAATGACCGCACACCAAGGACTTCGTATGGGTAAAAATAAAATATAACTTTTAATTTATGACATTAAAAAGTCATAAATATACAATAAGAGTGGATGGGGCCAGACAGGAGTGTGTAATGTCATGATAAAGTGATCATATTAGATTGAGCTCATGAGGGGGCATAGCCCATGACAGACCCATGTCAATGGTGATGCTTGCCCACTGACAGCCTGTTTGATTGATTTTGAGCCTTCAGGATTATGCAGGAAGTGCTGCAGAAACACCCCCTGCATGGTCCTAGTGGGAACACCTCCCAACCAAATTGGGACAGTGTGCAGAACCCCGGAAATCGGAACTCTCCAACCAAAAGTGGGACTGTTGGGAGGCTTGTATTTGCAATGTATATCCAATAGCAAATTCCTAAAAAATTAATTTGACTGGTACTGTGTTTCACCTGTCTCTAACATAGACTCTCTTCCTGCCTTTAGACTGCAGTTTCACATGTCACTATCGATGCCGAGCGCTTATTAGATTAGATTGCAGCAGAGTAACTGAATTTGAGAGTGATGTGGATTGTACTCTTGAGACCTCATGGGAAAAAGACACTAATGTGGTAAGCAAGACAATTGTTTTTATCATTAACAGCTTTCTTTGCATATGATCACAGGAAGAAAAAAATAGTAATCTAACGTCTTGCAATGTGTCATATGTTCACACTGTCAACCATTACACTGTTTATTATTTAATCAAATTAGTCTGTTACAATTCTCTGTGTTAAGAGCATCCAAGTGAAAATGTGATTATTCCATGTGAGATCTCTTTGCGCTCTGTGATGTTAAAATTAAAGTGAGGCTTCTATTATGTATTTAGATAAATGGGCAAGACAAATTACATGATATGATTCAGGGTGAAATAAAAGTTGTGAATAAAGCTTAAAAGTGGAATATCAAGAATAATTTGATGGGCACTCTACTATAATCCCACTGTTATTCTCAGGAGTCCTCTTGTGCCATCCCACAGTTAAGAGTCAAACCATTTTCAAACATTTTCAAATGTTTGACATTTACCTGGGTACCACAGAGCCTACATTGCAGTCACCCTGCACAGATTTCCAATATTGGTTTTGTCCATTTTTGGAAGGAATTTATTGGCTGACGGAGATATCGGTGAAGAGGGTCCAGCCTACAATCTCCTGAGGGACTCAGGTAAGTAATTCTGATCAAGAACAGCTTGACCCTTAAAGGACCACTATAGTGCCAGGAAAACATACTCGTCAATGAGACAGCCACTAGAGGCTTTGCAGGCTGGATTAACCCATTTATAAACATAGCAGTTTATTTGAAACTGCTATGTTTATAAAAAAAAAGGGTTAATCCTAGAGGGACCAGGCACCCAGACCACTTCATTAAGCTGGGTGCCTAGAGTGGTCCTTTAACAATGAGATGGTTCTATATGGCAAGACAGGCCTATAATTTACTTGATACAGCAGGCCTGGAGAGTCCATGGCACCGTGGGTATAGGAACTGGGGAGATGGAGACACGAATCCCTCTAGAAAATCTGGCGTAACTTTTAAGATTATATGATTCACTGCTAAGAAATTCAAGAAACATGTTAAAATAGTTGGTTATCCTATTCTCCTAATAGACTAGTGATAAGATATAATTTTGCCTCCAAGGTTTAATGTTCCCTAGGCAGGGTTGGGTTGACTTTCTTTGGTTCCTTTGTTAATGCATGTCACAATGCTTGGGCTGAATTTTTACTTTCCATTGGCTAGTGGGCGAATAGGAATTTTGAGCCTTGTGTTGCAGTATGCATTAACATATCTACTTTGCCAATGTATACTAACTATAGTCCTTTAGTTTAAAAGATATTAGGTTTTTATTATATTATAAAAGTAATTCAGGAGGAAATTATCATATTTAATTAATTATTGCATGAAATATATTGCAAACCTGGGGCAAAACCAAAAGGATTACTAGTGAATTTCATAACAAAGTCCTTGCTCATAGTCGTCCTATTCGTCCCCCTGCTCAGTCCCCACAACCTACACACACTTTAACCCTTGCAGTGCTGGGTTAAACGTATGCAAAAGTTCAAATTCTGCAGACCAGAATTGACTAAGCTGATTTTTAGAGTAGGCAAAGCTCAAGGCTGATGATGTAATGTGTGGGGACTTTTAAACTATTATTATTTTGGCGTTTTTGTTTTTGTGTATTTTTCTAAAGCATTATCTCATCCTGCATTAAAAAAGGTCAGTTCCACTTCCCAATTTCAGTAACATTTGTTGTGGATGGGGAATGAGTAATGAGAATGAGAGTTCCGCTTTAATGTAAATGGTTGACAATCCTTTAGAATTATTTGCATTAAAATGTTATAACCGCGGCAAGAACAAACACCAATTTATTTACTTTAATCATGCACAAGGACGTTTTTTAACTTAAAAGTATAACAACCTACCTGTTTTACGACAGCTCGCACTTACGAACAAGCGTAAGTGCGAGCCGTCGGGGGGATTCTCTGCTATGGTGCGCATGTCTAGGTTCGGGGAAATTTCCACGAACACATATGAACGCACGAGAGCAGAGATTCCCTCTAATCTATGTTCAGGTTTCCCCGAACATTGATGAACGCCCCAGAGCAGGGAATCCCTGAACTGTTCACTTACCGACCAATTCGTTCTACGACCGGGTCGTAGCAACGGAACCCAGTCGGTAAGTGAGGAGTGTCTGTATTAAGTTAAAAATAACACTGGAAACATTCTTCAACTCTTTTTTTTTATTTTGAGATTTGTTGGCAATTTGGTATTGAATTCACTGTTCAGTAAATAAACACCTACAGAATTATTGTGAAAGAAAAATTAAATATGATATTCATGCATACATTATACAGTAGTCTCAAAAGTTTGCATACCCTGGCAGAAAATGTGAAATTGTGGCATTGATTTAAAAAAAAAATTAATGATCATGCAAAAAATATATATTTTATTGAAGGATAGTGATCATATGAAGCCATTTATCATCCTATTTATTATCACCTTTTTAAATCATAATGATAACAGAAATCACCCAAATGGCCCTGATCAAAAGTTTACATACCCTTGAATGTTTGGAGGCCTCGTATACAACTATTACAAAAGACTGCAGGCGGTCATTGATGCTAAAGGGGACAATACTCAGTATTAAGAACTAAGGGTATGCAGACTTTTGAACAGGGGTCATTTAACTGTTTTCTTTGTTGACATGTTTTGTTTTATGATTGTGCCATTCTGTTATAACCTACTGATGACTATAAATCCCATAAGAAATATAAGAAATGTATTTTGCCTGCTCACTCATGTTTTCTTTAAAAATGGGACATATATCGTGGAGAGTGCTCCCTCGCCGCCTGTGGCCATTTTGTTTTACAAAACTTTGGCGGAACCTCATTTGTGTTCTCACAGAACCACAGGGTTCCGCGGAACACCAATTGGGAAACACTGCTCTAAGGGTATGCAAACTTTTGAACACAACTGTAGCCATAGCCATCACCATGGAAACAATGGATTGTTTTTACTGGTTCCATTGGTTTCCATGGTGATTGCTGCACTTTTAGAATTACCCACAATTTTTATCTTATTTGTATCCACCATAATTTTTTTAATCTAATTTGAAACGCTGAAAATAGTTTTCCTGACTGCAGGCCAGTGACATCAGATAGTCTGCAGTAAACATAGTCAGACTTAATGCCAGATTTGTTTTGTTTGAGTATAATTTTGTATGGCGGAGGTGAGAAAAAATTATTCAGTTTTTGTTCGTAAATATGTGTATATTTTACTAATTGTCTGGAAATGCCTCTTTGTTATGTTATTATTACAACACCATTGTTACTGTTATAGAAAATAAAGAGGATAAAAATGCTTAAACATGACCGACAATACATACTTCTCTTTCTAAAGTTATGGCATACAAATATCCACCCTTCCGTTGCTTGACCTTGTAATGTGACAAAAGTAACAGTAATTCTTCTATGTGATGTTGCGTCAAAGTAACAAAAAGGTTAAAAATAAATGTGTGTTCTTTGAATGAAATAAAGGTCATTTTAAAATGCTATTCAAATGGTGAAAAAAGATCAAGAACTTTTCAAAGAAGAAATGTCAGTTCCCAGGAATGTCAGTATTGGATTTACTTATCACTATGTTTAAGAAATATGTATTAGTGAGCTGTTTAAAATTAAATTAAATGTAGAAATACAATCCTATTGCTTTCATTAATAAATAAAACTGAAAGGAAAACTGTAGGGTCAATTCTTGACCCTGTAGTGTTAAAAAGGCATATGGGGTCCCTGCCCCCTCTTAAAGAATAAGGAAACTTGCCTTATTTTCAGCACCGCACGGGTCCGTTTGTGCTGGCCTCACCCCTGATCCACCTCCTTGGCTTTTTTTGTCATTTAAAAGGGACACTATAAGCCCCAGACCTACAGAATAGCAAAGAGCGAATTGGATAGAATGTTGATACTTGGTCTTGACATTATTTTAAGAAACAACTGCTATGGGCATGAAGGTAGCACCCAGTTATGCTAACCTCTTTATGGCCGACTGGGGGGAAACCTTAATTTGGTCTAACTGCAAATGTAAATCTTTTCAAATGTTTTTTTTATTATAGATAAATTTGTTTCCATAACAGTAAAAATAATGATATAATAAGAATATATATGTAAATAGCATACATAAAAAAAAAAACAAAAAAAAAAACAGGTGCAGAGCCAGTGCATGAGAGAGCAAGACACATAGTACCGCAGCTCCGTTTGCTATATCTGCTAGCGGCTGATATCAGACAAAATGAGGCACACCAAGTCCTAAACAGCTCCACGTGTACCCTATGACATGGGGAAGAAGACGAAAAAGTGTCGAGCGGACCCCGGGTTCCCGAGATATTGGGGCTTTTATGCGCACAGCCATGCGGCCTGATCCCTCAATATGTCATATTATACATTGCTACTAACAAATGTTAAAAAGAGATGAGTTTTGTGTCTAGAAATAAAATTATTGAAGTGCGCGTCAGTCAGTTTAATGTGATGTCACTTCCTGTATTATGGTAAACGCATGCAGTTTTATTTGGTTTCAGCAATGAATGCTGGCAGGCCTCCAGTAATCTATAGCACTGCTGTGGGGGATGTTTGCTTTAACATATGTAGAAAGACGATGATCTAAAACAGACGTTACTTATTGAATAAAAACAGCTTGCATTTCCATTATACGTCTTCAGCCTGCAAATTTACATATACTTTACTAGAAGCCGGTTAGCCTCTGACATGCTATGTTAAGTTATGCCAATCTCAGACTACTGTAAAGGTTTTAAGAGGCTTTGAACCATATGGTTTCTTTCTGCAATCAGTGAAGCAAGCAGACAAACAAGTAAAATATGTTTTAATGAACAAATGTACCAAAATTGAATGTTTTGTGACTTCCTGGTTATTGCATAGGGTTACTGAACAATGTAAAATGTATGTTAGATTTAGCTCTGTGAATGTAAAACATTGTCAGAAGCCTCCTTTGTAAGTACATTGTATTAACAAAAACATACCAATATTGCTAAGCCTGTCTGCCTACGTCATTTGAAAAGACTTAAAGGGACATTCCATGTTGGAGTTAAGCCATTTAGTTTTAATGCATAATATAAATAAGAAGAAAACAATACAATATGTTTTGTAATATTCACCCCTAAAGCATCTGAGCTTGCTGAAGTGCTTTATGTGTGGAGTGTGTGTAAATGTACCTGGTTACACCCCCTGCAGCTGTCAATCAGATAACAGGTCCTGTTACTTCCTGGTTGTTTAGCGCAGTGGAGCTGCTTTGCAAAGACTTCTCATTGAGCTGCATTGGAATGTCTGTGATTGGACAGCAAAAGAAAGTCTGGGCTGGAAAGAAGACTTGCAGAGGCTGCAGACAAGACAACTGCAGCTTTTTATTATTTGGGCATTGGAGTAGCCTTTTAATGTTCATGCATTTTCTGTCCAGCTTTACAGCTTCTGTAGTGAGTGAACTATGCCCAGACCATGAAGTGATCAATCATAACATTCAGAAATATTTAGACAGGAGAAGCATTAACAAACATGCTACCCTATATGTCATTCATGATCAAATAATACATACAGAGGCTATTTAACTTGTAATCTTTTATCTCAATAAAAAAATGTAAGACTTATGTCAGGTTTTATTAAAATGGATCATGTCAAGGGAGTCACATGTCTGATTGAAAGGGGCACTATAATGTTAGGAATATAAAATTATATTCCTAAAACAATAGTATCCCTCTGCAGTCCCCCCTCTCACTAGTCATGAAAGGTTGTGGTTCCTCTGTGCTTGTTCTGTCTCCCACAATCCTGGAACCTAATGGACGTGTGTGGCAAATGCTGCATGCACATTAGGGCTCTCCTGTAGGAAAACATAAAATCATTGCCTTTCTACAGGGATCTTCAAGAGGATATCCAGCGTCGCTTCACGGACTTAAACTCCGTGAAGCGCCAAGAAGAACTTCAATGAGATTAAATGATCGATTAAATGATCGAGATGCCTATAGTGTCCCTTTAAGCCTTTCCCCGTCACATACCCCACTTTGTAGCCGCACACGCACCTATTGGTAGCTGAATATTGGCAAATCCTGTCTTGTTAGAACTTGTTTTAAGTAATTTTTTTCGATCACAAAATTGCTATTCCACAACAGCTGGAGAGACATATGTTGCATTGCAGAGACTGAGACCAAATTTAGAAAAAAGAATTATCTGTGACAAACACATCTCACATTACTATATCACGTTACTCCCAAGGCAGCAGTAATTCTCTTTATTCAAAGACAGTGAAACAATAAAATATTCACATTACTGGGAAAGAAGCAATTACCTAGCCAAGATAAGTATAAATATGTTTAAAAAGTTAAATGTGGCTGGGTGGGGCCTGACTGTCATGGTGGAGAGACATGTTTTAAGCAAGCTCCTCTCCTAAGCTAACATTATAAACATTTTTCAACCTCATTAAGCATGATTTAAATCAAACTCAATGACCTACCTGGTTATTGTCTTAGCTACTATACCCTGCTGTGGTTAGAGAATCGACAGAGGCTCGCTTTAAGTACAATTTGGAACATGTGGCCTGGAGCTCAATGGGTGGGAGAGGCGGACGATCTCCCAGACTGGAGCAGCCCAGCAGCACTCAACATCGTTCAGTTGACCTGCTATCCTCCCCCCTTCCCATGAATCGGCGGGGGTGATCCCGTTCCACCCCAGGGAGGCTTCCCGGAGCTACAACACACTAGTGAAACCACACAGGCCGATGGAAACTTTAGTGACGCACCAAACATGGCTGACGCCTCATGGCCCCCTGGCACCACCAAAGTAAAGCATGACATCCTATCCAAGTTGGTCGAAATATTTAGAAAATTCTGACAGAAGCTGGAAAGTAGGCTGCATGAAGCTGCCCCACAACAACCGAGAGGACACTCACCCCATACACCAACTCCACTCCTGCAGCTGAAGTCCACGACCACGGCTAGGACAAAGGCCCCAAATTGATGGTGAAGCAGAAAGCATTCATCGCTCTCAACACGAGTAGTGCACACTAAGTCACAGCAACGATCTAGCACTGGGATCCCAGACCTGCCGGAGATACTGGGGGAAACTCAGATTGTGGAATATGGCTTAGCCCTCCTACTCACCTCAAGGGTCACAGGCCTGCGGTATCTCTCCAGGTTGCAGGGGAGTGTTATACCCACAGATAGTATCGACTGAACTGTGCTGGCTTAGAGGAGCGTGTGGCCATCCATTTCACTCTTTAACCATTACTTCTGTCAGGGAAAGTCACTGCTTGCAGCCCCTTCTTTACCTTAATTTGTTTGATTATAACCAGCTACTCTGAATCTCATACGGGCATTATATCCTACTGTGCTATTTTTCCCATTGCATGCTCCACTGCAAGTCTGTTCCTGTTATGTTTGTTTATTTCTTATTTTACTTGGTTTTACCTCTTAGTTACTCCTACTAACGCTGCAGCACAAAACTGGAGAATATAACTAGAATCGTTAACCATTCTAGTGAGATCCTGCGGCCGGGGGTGATTTTTCTCTGAATGTTTGTCCACTATACCTATTAAACATTACTAAGCTTAAATCAATCTATGGCTTAAACTTAGGCTGCACTTTCTAATTAGCAGTTAGTATTGTTAATCTAACTACTTGTACAGCTACAAATGATTGGCCAGCCATACTTCCTACTCAGGCCCATATCTGGCAATATCCCAGTGTTTGATGCCATGCCTGAAAACATTGTATATCACAGCCTGCGTGCAGCTAAATATGTCTAGCCTGTCATCAAGCATGTTTTATTATACTGAAGCACTGTCAGTTAGAGTAGCCAGACTGCTATTACTTGACTCCATACTGATATATTTACCATTCTGTTTATTGATTAGCTTGATTTTACTTATAGGGTTAGGAGTAGGGCATGTTTAGGGTTAGGGTCGGGGTTAGAGGTAGGGTTAGATTCCTGTCATCATTACCTTAATTTTCCCTCCCTCTACTGTTTTGCCACTTTTCAAAAATCCGAAGCACTTCGGCACTTCCGAAATTCAGTGGTTCGGTTCGGCACTTCAGCAATTCGGACATGTCCGATTTGCCGAAATTCATCGAATTTACATGTCTAGAGTAATTAACATCTTTTGTTTTAAAAGAACACAACAGAGTTCAATGATATAAATTATAAATAATGATAAAAATTATAGATAAAATTAAGCTTATATTTATTAATATCTCCAACAAATGCAATACATACATACAATACATACACACAGACTGCTGAATGCAGTCACAGACTGCTGAACACATTCACACACTGACTGTTGAATACATACACACCGACAAACACACAGATTGCTGAATACAGGGCAAGCCGCCAGGGCCCTTTGTAGTATCGGGTCCTCGGGTCATGGACCAAGGACCCGGCACATTAGTCTGCCCCAAGGCGATTTAGGTGGCAGCAAAGCTCCAGTCACCATGAGGCCTTAGGCGGCTGCCTAAATCATCTAAGTACAGAGCCGCCTCTGGGAGTAGCATTATGCAGAGCTTTGAAAGCAAGAACCAGAATTTTATATTGAGCCCTATCTCTTACGGGAAGCCAATACAGGGACTGACAGAGGGGTGAGGAGTGGGAGGTGCGGGCAGACAGGAAGATGAGCCTTGCCACCGCATTCATTATAGACTGCAATGGGGCAAGTTGGGAGCACGTAAAACCAGTGAGAAACGGATTGCAGTAGTCAGTAGTCAAGGCAAGAGAGGACAGTGGCATGGACTAGCATAGTGTGTATCTGCATGTATGTCAGTGTGTGCCTGTTTATCTGCATGTGTGTCTGTGTAACTGTCACCCCACAAAACACACTGTCACCCCCTTCACCCTGCCACACACAATAATCCTGTCAATCACCCATGCCATACTCACCTCCCATCACTCTACCATATTCACCCTATCACACTTACCTTCTCTAGCACTGTAACACTCATTCTCCATCACTCTGTCACAGTCGCCTCCTTTCACCCTATCACATGAGCCCCTCCAAGTCTGCTATACTCATCCCCCCCACCATGCCACACCCTGTGGGGTGTGAATGAAACACATAGCGGGTCTAGGGGGCGTGAATGTAACACATGGATGGGCTGGGGGAGGTGACGTATTGGGGGGGGGAGGGCAGGGCAATTTTTGCACCGGGGCCCCATTGTTTCTAGTTACGCCTCTAGGCAGGGGCACCCTGACCACTTCAGTGAGATGAAGTGGTCTGGGTGCCTTTAGTGTAATGTTAAAGTTGCAATTGACCAGTGAACCCCAACAATTCAGTGGTAAATAACCATGTATGTGTGGCACTAAAGGAAATGCAAAATTTAGGCAAAAGAGTTGGAAAAATTCTCCAATTCAGATTATTTTCAAGCTTGGCTACTTTAGCCTTGGTTTTGCACTATGTAATAAATAATACCCCATTGTTCAAATGTGTTTTGTTCTGACATTTGAATTTACATGCGTATTTAGTGTCACTACTTTTCACAATCTATTGATATATTGATAGACACCTGTTTTTCCTTGAGTGTGCTATTTTATTATATTTTAAAATTCTTTAGATGTACCAATTTTTCTTTTCTATTTTGTCCTAAGGTTTGCAATTCCCAAGTCATCTCCCGACAATTTAGTGGATAATCGTTAGAGAATTCACTTATTTTCTTCCAAACACTATAATGGTAATAATTAATTAAGCCGTGAATTGAGGAGGGTCAGCAAGTGAAATAAAATCAAACTCCAAAATATATGCATTGGGGAATACTTCCCAATAAAGCTACTTTGTAATGTCCATACCAATTCTTACCAAATTCCTGTTTAGTGAATAAATGCCGTAAGGGTTTCATCTGTGCGTTGTACAGGTTTCAGAAATAGGTTTGTGTCTCCTTGCTCAAGGGAGACTATAGGGTTTGTTGGACTCTGGAGAATACAGGAAGTCAGAATCTATTAAAAGCAGGATGTTCTCACATCTGGCAGAACAACCACATCCCCAGGACCAAGGGACATGTGACTGAGTCACAGTCCTAATTCGATAAACCATATACACTGATGTAATGCATGTGTGATCATAAATGACATGATAAGAATAATGAACCAGTTCCTACATACTCTTGCAAATTCAGAATACTTTTTCAAGTTATATATATATATGGTTTATGTACATATTCAGCCTCTGTGATAAATTATTTTTGTATATAAAGTTCCAACATACACTCCAACCCTCCCATTATTAATATTATTTTTATTATTGGTATTTATATAGCGCCAACTAATTCTGCAGCGCTTTACAATATTACAAAATGGGGAAATTTACAATAAATAAGACAATTACACAGTGACACAGGAACAATAGGTAGATGAGGGCCCTGCTCAAATGAGTTTACAGTCTAGAGGAGGTATGGTACAAATACACAACAGGGCAGCAAGGGTGACAGCCACCAAACAAGGTGGAAAAGTAGCAGCGCTGGAGGTGAGAGTGGAGTATGGCTCTTTTAGGAGATTTGGTATAGGTAAGTTACTCTGGGAGTCCATAGGCATTCCTGAACAGATGTGTTTTGAGGGACTTCTTAAATATTTGAAGACTAGGGGAGAGTCTGATGAGGGTAGACAGGCTATTCCAAAAGAAGGGAGCCGCCGCGAGAAGTCCTGCAATTGCGAGTTAACAGTAAGGTTGCGAGCAGCAGACAGGAGAAGATCACCGGCAGAGTGGAGAGACCGAGAAGGGGAATACCTATGAATAAGGGAACAAATGTAAGAGGGGATAAAGTTGGTTAGAGCTTTATAGGTAAGGTTTCGAATTTTTAATTGACACTTGTAGGATACAGGAAGCCAGTGTCAGGATCAACAGAGGGGCGAGGTATGGGAGGAGCGACGGGTGAGAAAGATCAGCCTGGCAGCAGCATTCATCACAGATTGTAGGAGGGCAGTTCGGCTTTTGGGGAGACCAACTAGGAGAGAATTACAGTAGTCCATGCAAGAGATTACCAGAGCATGAACAAGCACCTTGGCAGCATCTTGCTTGAAAAAGGGGCAGATGTAGGCGATATTTTTAAGGTGGAATCGACAGGTTTTAGCAACATACTGGATATGTGGGGGAAAGGTGAGGCCAGGATCACAAATATTACCAAGACACCGAGCTTGCAAGGAAGTATTATCAACTTGCAGGGAAGGTGAAGGAGGAGGATCAGCATTATGAGGGGGGAAAATAAGAAGCTCAGTTTTAGAGAAATCGAGTTTCAGGAAGCGGGAGGACATCCAATCAGAGATTGAAGAAAGGCAAGCAGTGACACGTTGAAGGACAGTGTGGGAGAGATCAGGGGCCGAGAGGTATGTATGAGTGTTGTCGGCATACAGATGGTAGCGGAATCCAAAGGAGTTAATGAGTTTGCCAAGAGAGGCAGTATAAAGAAAGAACAGAAGGGCACCAAGAACAGATCCTTGGGGGACTCCAAACGAGGCAGGGCGACAGGAGGAGGTGTCTTTGCAAAAGAAGAAACTGAATGAACGTTGGGAAGAGATAGGAGGAGAACCACGAGAGGACAGTCACAGAGACCGAGGGATTGAAGAGTTTGGAGAAGGAGAACATGGTCAACAGTTTCAAAGGCAGCAGAGAGGTCAAGAAGAATTAGTATGGAGTAGTGGCCTTTGGATTTAGCTGTGATTGGGTCATTTGCAACTTTAATAAGAGCAGTCTCAGTAGAGTGGAGGGGGCGAAAGTCAGATTGAAGAGGATCGAGGAGGGAGTTGGAATTTAGGAAGTGAGTCATACGAGTAAAGACAAGTCTTTCTAGATGTTTTGAGGAAAAAGGAAGCAGGGATATGGGACGATAGTTGGAAGAGGAAGATGGGTCTAGGGATGGCTTTTTTAGGATGGGTATGACAGTAGCATGCTTAAAGGGAGCAGGGACAACATCAGATGAAAGAGAGCAGTTTATGATGTGTGTTAAGGATGGTACAAGACAAGGGGAGAGAGATCTGATAAGGCGGGAAGGTACTGGATCAAGCGGACAGGTGGTGGGACGAGAGGAGGAGAAGCAAAGCCACAAACTGTTCTGTAGCTGGGGAGAAGGCCTGTAGGGTAGGGAAGGTACGGTCCAGGTGTGGTTGCAAGAGGAAGGAGCAAAGGGGAGAAAATTATTTCCTTAAAGGACCACTCAAGGCACCGAGACCACTTCAGCTTAATGAAATGGTCTGGGTGCCAGGTCCAGCTAGGGTTAACCCATTTTTTTATAAACATAGCAGTTTCATAGAAACTGCTATGTTTATAAATGGGTTAATCCTTCCCCCAAAGCCTCTAGTGGCTGTCTCATTGACAGACACTGGAGGCGCTTGCGTGATTCTCACTGTGAAAATCACAGTGAGAGCACGCAAGCGTCCATAGGAAAGCATTGATAATGCTTTCCTATGCGACCGGCTGAATGCGCGCGCAGCTCTTGCCGCTCATGCACATTCAGCCGACGGGGAGGAACGGAGGAGGAGAGCTCCCCGCCCAGCACTGGAAAAAGGTAAGTTTTACCCCTTTTCCCCTTTCCAGAGCCCTCAGGGCACTATAGTGCCAGGAAAACGAGTACGTTTTCCTGGCACTATAGTGGTCCTTTAAATGTTCAATCTTGCCGGTAAAGTAGCATGCAAGGCTACCTGCTGAAAGGTCAGTTTGAGGGGTGGCTCCAATCTACAATCTAGCAGAGATTTAGGGGATAAGTCTCCCAGATGCAGTTCCAGGCATCAAATAAGATGAGCAAAACTGCTCAATGTGCTGATAGTCGACATACTACAGCTGCTATCAGAGTATAGACAGCCTGGCTCACTTTTTTTGTGGAGTGGGTTGTGTTTTGCTTTCTGCTGAGCTGCCAACTGTACAGCTGCGGTTTGCTTCTCTCTTCGCATACACAAGTTAGACAGATCTTACACTGCTAAATAGAAAGTGGAAAAAAATGTCCTATGAAGTCTGAGTCCGGAGGAATGCTTACAGCTGCTGTAATTTCATTATAATCTGTGAGTAGGGTAATACTAATTTTGTCAAAAAAAAACTGTGTAATGAAGCAAAGTCATTAATGTACTTAGATTGCCTACTTTTGGTACTATAACAACTTAATTGCAATGGAAATGTTATGGTTCAAAGAGGTCCCAGGCACCGTCTTACCTTAAAGGAACACAATATATGCAAAACCATATTCCTAAAACTATAGTGTCCCTCCTCTATCTCTGCTCTATCCACCCCCCTTTCAGGAATTGGTTAAAAACTCTTTCTTTCACCTGCCTAATTTCAGCATTGAGGTCCCTCGGTGCTGGTTTGGGATCCTCCTCCTGTTACGATGGGGCGGTACCTAATGCGTATGTGCAGTGAGCGGCTCTCCTGCATTATGGCTAACCCATCATTGAATTAATGTTTTCCTATGGGTTTTTCAAGATGCTGGACATCCTCACCTCATGCAATCTGTTAGGACGTCCATTGTCATTTCACGGAGTGAAACTCTTTTAAACACCAAGAAGCGCCTCTAGTGGCTGTCTGGAATACAGTCAGTAGAGTAGGAGTTTACCCTTCAATATAATTATTGCATTTTCCCAGAAACTGCAATAACTAACATTACAGGGTTAAGGGTACCAAGTACATTGAGATGAAGTGGTATTGATGCCTATAGTGTGCCTTTAATGTAAATTAATGGTTTAATCCCCTGCAATCCTGTGTCCTATCTGTTTGTCTACTTTCTCTGAATGGGTGCCACTGATCTCAGCGTACCATTCACAAAACAGAGTAAAAGAGATTCACTTTTCTGAATGGGGAGATAGTGAGAAAGTTTGAGGCTGATCGTTAATGGTTTATCCCCTTATAGTAGGGCAGCGTCTGATACCTAACGACTTCATAACGATGAGTGCCTCTTGAAACAAGTGGGTTTCCTCATTAAAATAGGAATTATGGAGAATATACAAGGGGTCAGGGACTTTTGTTTGTGTAATAACAGTACATTTGCAAATTGTAATCCAAAATAGCAGTGGTGGAAAACAATTCTCCAATTAGACTAATTCTTCAGCATTGGCTATTTTGGCCTACTATTTACAATTCCTCTATCAATTCTTCACAGTTCACCAGCGCAGGAAATAGCGCCATTAGTGTATACATAATACTGCGTACAATAACATTCATCTGCAGAACAAAGATAGTAAACTATTTCATAGAGAACCTACCAAACTCTTTAAAAAAGGTAATATAAAGGATGTATTTAAAACCAGGGTGTGAGTGCAGTGGAACAAGTAAGGAACACTGTAGACCCCTAAAGCACTTTAGCTTGCTGAAGTGCTTTAGGTGTGAAGAGTCAGTGCTTTTGCTGTGGGGGTTCCGTGTCACATGGTTTTACTTGGTCAGTGCAGCCAAAGTGCATCTAATAGCTGTTATTCTTACAGCCACTTGAGGTGGCCTTAACCCTGGAATGTAAACATTGCAGTTTCTAAAAAAAACAGGACAGGGACATTGCACCCAGACCATTTCATTGAGACGAAGTGGCATGTGTGACTATAGTGTTCCTTTAATAAATGTGATTAAAATAATGACATTATTTACCCGTCACTTTTCAGAACATTTTGATAAATATCCCCAGGGCTGCCATAAAGGGGTGACAACCATAATGGTTGTCACGGGCCCCGCGGGCCCTGGGGGGCCCGGCCACCCAGGCCCCACGTGGAGCGGCGAAACTGCCGCAGGTGCATCTGTGTATGTCAGTATGTATGTGTGTGTGTGTATGTCAGTATTACATAGTTACATAGTTACATAGTTACATAGCTGAAAAGAGACTTGCGTCCATCAAGTTCAGCCTACCTCACATTTGTTTTTTGCTGTTGATCCAAAAGAAGGCAAAAAAAAAACAGTTTGAAGCACAATTTTGCAACAAGCTAGGAAAAAAAATTCTTCTTGACCCCAGAATGGCAGTCAGATTTATCCTTGGATCAAGCAGTTATTACCCTACATTGAAAGATTATATCCTTGAATATTCTGTTTTTGCAAGTATGCATCTAGTAGCTGTTTGAACATCTGTATGGACTCTGATAAAACCACTTCTTCAGGCAGAGAATTCCACATCCTGATTGTTCTTACAGTAAAAAAACCTTTCCTTTGCCTTAGACGAAATCTTCTTTCTTCCAGTCTAAACGCATGGCCTCGTGTCCTATGTAAAGTCCGGTTTGTGAATAGATTTCCACACAATGGTTTGTATTGGCCCCGAATATATTTGTATAATGTTATCATATCCCCTCTCAGGCGACGTTTTTCTAAACTAAATAGGTTTAAATTTGTTAACCTTTCTTCATAGCCGATATGTTCCATTCCTTTTATTAATTTTGTAGCCCGCCTCTGCACTTTTTCTAGTGCCATAATATCCTTCTTTAGAACAGGTGCCCAAAATTGCACAGCATATTCAATATGGGGTCTTACCAGTGATTTATAAAGAGGCAAAATTATATTCTTGTCCCGAGAATGAATGCCCTTTTTCATGCATGACAATACCTTACTGGCCTTGGCCACTGCTGATTGACATTGCACATTGTTGCATAGTTTGTTGTCTATAACAATTCCCAAGTCCTTTTCGTGTGTTGTTATCCCTAATTCGCTTCCATTAAGGGTATACGTTGCTTGTGTATTCTTTACGCCGAAGTGCATAACTTTGCATTTTTCAACATTAAATTTCATCTGCCATTTGAGTGCCCAGTCCCCCAGTCTATCTAAATCCCTCTGCAGCAAAGTAATATCTTGCTCACATTGTATTGTTTTACAAAGTTTGGTGTCATCTGCAAACACTGAAACATGACTTTCAATGCGGTCTTCAAGATCATTTATAAACATGTTAAATAGAAGGGGTCCCAGAACAGACCCCTGAGGGACACCACTTGCCACCTCTGTCCAGCTTGAAAATTTACCATTAATGACAACTCTTTGTACTCTGTTTTTAAGCCAATGTTCTACCCAAGAACAAGCATTTTCATCTAGACCGATTTCCTTGAGTTTGAACACTAATCTATTGTGTGGAACTGTATCAAATGCCTTGGCAAAATCCAAATAGATCACATCCACGGCAACACCCTGATCTATACTTCTACTTACTTCTTCGTAGAACGCAATCAAGTTAGTTTGACATGACCTGTGCTTCATAAAACCATGCTGATTTTTGCTGATAACCATGTTCTTCTCAAGGAATTCTTGAATATTATCCCTTAATAACCTTTCAAATATTTTACCAGCCACAGAAGTTAAGCTCACAGGTCTATAATTTCCAGGCAAGGATTTTGAACCCTTTTTGAATATAGGAACCACATCTGCCTTCCTCCAATCCTCCGGAACACTTCCTGAAAGAAAAGAATCTTGAAAGATTAAAAACAGAGGTTCACTTATTTCTGCACTTAGTTCCTTAAGTACACGTGGATGGATACCGTCAGGCCCTGGAGCTTTGTTTATATTAACTTTCTTTAGTTGCTGCAGCACCTTGTCTTGAGTTAACCAATTACAATTATTCTGCAAGTTTTTAGTAGCAATCATTTGCACATCTATTGCCATGGGTTCTTCCTTAATATATACGGAGGAGAAATAGTTATTTAAAATTCCTGCCTTTTCCTGGTCTTCATTAACTAACACCCCCGTTTCAGTTTTTAGTGTACCTACACTTTAATTTAGTTTTTTTTTAGAATTTATGTACTTATGTATGTATGACTGTGTGTATGTATGTCTGTGTGTATGTCAGTATGTATGTCTGTGTGTGTGTATGTCAGTATGTATGTCTGTGTGTATGTCAGTATGTATGTCCGTGTGTATGTCTGTGTGTGTGTATGCCTGTGTGTGTATGTGTGTGTGTGTCTGTATGTCTATGTGTGTGTGTGTGTGTATGTCTGTATGTATGTCAGTATGCATGTATGTCTGTGTGTATGTCTGTGTGTGTGTATGTCTGTGTATGTCAGTATGTCTGTGTGTGTGTGTGTGTGTGTGTGTATGTATGTCAGTATGTATGTCTGTCTGTGTGTGTGTATGTATATCTGTGTGTGTATGTCTGTATGTGTATGTCTGTATGTATGTCTGTTTGTCAGTATCTATGTCTGTGTGTATGTGTATGTCAGTATGTATGTCAGTATGTATGTGTGTGTGTATGTCTGTGTCTATGTCAGTATGTATGTCTGTGTGTATGTCTGTGTATGTATGTCAGTGTGTATGTCAGTATGTATGTCAGTATGTATGTATGTCTGCCAGTACGCATGTGTGTATGCCTGTCAGTATGCATGTGTGTATGTCTGTCAGTATGTATGTATGTGTGTGTGTCTGCAAGTATGTATGTCTGTGTGTGTGTGTCTGCAAGTATGTATGTATGTCAGTATGCATGTGTCTGTGTGTGTATGTCAGTATGTCTGTGTGTGTGTGTATGTCAGTATGTGTATGTATATATCTATCAGTATGTATGTCAGTATGCATGTATGTCTGTGTGTGTATGACAGTATGTCTATGTGTATCTGTGTACGTATATATCTGTGTGTGTATGTATGTATATCAGTATGTATGTCTGTCTGTATGTATGTGTGTGTGTCAGTATGTGAGTATGTATGTACAACAGTGAGTGTGTGTGTGTGTGTGTGTATCTGTGTATGTGTCTATATGTGTGTATGTCTGTTTCGGTATTTGTGTCTGTTAGTATGTGTGTGTGTGTTCCTATGGGTGGGATTTGGAGACGGGCACACGGGGGCTGTGTTAGGGGCCCCACAATTTCTGATGGCGGCCCTGAATATCCCCATTGTGTTCAAAGTGACCTGGCACATGATATACTGCTCCTTATAAAAGGGGGTAATTTTCTACCCTAGAATAGCACTGCTCATTGTAAGCATGGTTAAGTACACTGTTTCTGTATATAGCTGCATGAAATAGGACAATGACATGTTTTGAACCAGACTATAGGAATACTGTTCTGAAGAGTTTATTTTGTATTGTGGGTTTACTGCTATTTAGGACAGGATGTAAGACAGTATTAATATAAAGTGGCCATAGACAGATATTATTTTAGAAAAGAAAAAGCTACTAGATTTCTAAGAATTGATGAAAGAATAAGGAGCAACGAAAGCACATGGTTAAAAGAAAAATGGAAGAGTTGGTCCTTGTTTTATTTAGTGCAGTCTACCCCCACCCCTTCCCCTTTAGCCTGCAGGATCTCTGCAGCACTTGGTGATGAAATCCCTGTGACAGGAAGTGGGTGTGAGATTAGGCAGAGAATGAAGTCATTGTTACTCCTCCAACCCTATCCCCAGTTAATCCCTGCTCCAATCACAGAGCAGGCCTCAGAGTCTGTATACATTCAATTGCAAGGGCTGGTCTGGGGACAGACAAGGGGAGAGGCTGCATTAGATACAGTATTACAGAGCACAGAGTGAGAGACAGGGGGGAGCTGTGATACATTGTGACAGAGAGAGCAGTGATAGTGTTACTTCAGTGAGTGACAGAGGGGAGCTGTGCCTGTGATACATTGTAACAGAGGGGGAGCTGTGATACAGTCCCATTGGAGGAGGTGCATAGTAAGATTCTAGGTCTGCAAAGTGGGTGCAATGGGGAAAGGTGACAAAGACACCCCATCTTTCGAGATGACCTGGAACAGCACTACTAGTAGCGGGTACTGCAGCCAGGAGGAGTCCGACCCGGAGTTGGAGCTCTTCTACACCGCCAGGACCTCGCTTTTCCCTCGGAGAACACCAGTCAAGAGCCAGATCCAGGTTAGACGTGGGTTCCTGGGACACTGGGGGAGGGGAAGAACTGTATAACATAAGGGGGGCCTTTACTATGTATGGGAAGCACATTCTATTTAATTGTTTAATAGGAGAAAGGGGTTACTGTAATAAGTGGCAGTGATGGCACACCTTAAAATAAGTTGTGCTGTACCAGAAGGGGTGCACTGTGACAGGGAAAAGGGGGGTGCACTGTGACAGGGAGGTGTAGGATGCTAGCATCAATAGAAAAAGTGCAATGTGACATGGAGGAAAGGATATCCTAGTACAGGAATATGGTTGAAGGGTTTAGTGAATAAACCCCTCTCTGAGTTTAAGAAATTAGATGGTTAATCAGTGAAGAGGTGATGCAGAGTGAATCAGAGATAGAATCAGAGATGGGGGAAGTAAGTGGTCAGAACTAAAATACCAGAATGTATTACTGAGACAGGGAGCTAAGTGTTTATTCCTAGTACAGATAGACTGGGTAAATACCTATCTGACTGGTTTATTTAGTGGGAGTTTGGGGATTATTCACCTCTGACTAATTACAGGAAAGATTCACCACCAGAGACAGAAATTACAAAGATACTGTACAGAGGAAGAAATTACTAAGTATGACACGGTGTTCTGTGGAAACCATATGTCCTAATAGAGGCAGGGGCTCAAAATAATATAGGGTATATTCATAATCAACATGCAGAGATAAAGGGTATATGAGGCTTAGGTTCTGCTGACAAGAATTAGTCATCAAAATAAAAATTGCAAACAAGAAATTGCACATTTAGTTTAAAATAACCACGCTGAAAAAAATAGCTGATTTGGAGAATATTTCTGTTTTGGACTAAAATTTGCCATTCCAAGATCATTTTCTGATTAGGGCAATACATTTCATGGAGGTTTATGTAAAGGATAAGCACATTCATGATTTAATGGAGTCTTTAATAAATCTCTGTATAAAATATTGACTTTGCTGTGTATTTCCCACTGTTGTAATCTATCTGTAGGCCAGCAAGGTGAACGATGCAGGTTTGTTAGGCTTCATCTTCATCAAGATTATTACGTCATTATTCAATGGAACACTCCAGACCACTGAATCCTGTGCTTTATGTGTGAAAAGTGTGTCTTTTTTTATTTTATTTTATTTCATTTTACAAAAAATGCAGATTTCAAAAGATATTGACACTTTTATGAAATTAACCTTGTTACACCCCCTAGGCTGTCAATCAGACAACAGGTCCTGTTACTTGCTGGTAGTTTAGCTAAGTGGACCTAAACTCAAGGCAGATCAACGGGCCAGTTTACCTCCATTGCTATCGTCATATAATATTTCTGTATAGAGCTGGATGGGCTAATGCGCAAGTCCACTTCCACATTAGAAGAACTGAAGAAGATGGCCTGAACTTTATGTGCCACACAAACAAAAAGATTCACGAAAAAAAGATTTAGTAGAAATGTTGTGCAAACCTTGAATCAATTGGAACATTCTATTGGTTTCTGCGATTACTGCTCAGACTTTTATACATCTAGCTCTCTTATAAATGTAAAAAGGAGCACTGCAAAACAGGGCTACCATTTTATGTTACAAAACAGGGCAGAATGAGAAACCATCAAAATCTAAATTTACATATAAAACAGGAAAGTGTGGTCTTATCCACCATCTTCCACTTTTTGGTGTTCCTATAGAACATCCTCTTTTACAATGCTGCTTCCTCAATCCCTTGTTTCACATAACACAATTAACCTCTGTCATGTCGTCTCCAGTAATCCTGTTCTCACACACCATCATTCATTCTCTTCCAAGTTATGCCATTGTTTATCCCAGGCCTATCATTAACCCTAATTGCGTTTGATCCAATGCTCAAATTGAACAGTACTTCTCTTTCCGACAGACCTATAGTAATTGGCCTTTAGATCAGACAAACTGACAAGCTTGGATATTATTATTTTTTTTTAAGCCAAGGGCTGCATTTTTTTTTTTATTTTTTTTTGCACACTTAGAAGTTGACCACGTGGATAAAATGTTACCATGTTCCCCAAACGGAGGTTGGAGCTAAGTGTGTATATGTGTCCATTAATTCTCATTGTTCCAATTGTTCTTGGCACTGCAAAAATGATGGTGTCTTTATGCTGGTTTATAAACTAATGAAAAAAGGGTTAAAACTAACCTTCTGCCCAAAAAAACAAACAAAAGAAAAAAAATAGATCATTGTGGATAACATCTGTGAACTTCAATAAACATAGGTTTATTTTCTAACATGGAAACGGCACATTTTTATCTTAAAATAGACATTGGAAACATACATTTATACAAATAGTTGTGCACCGTTTCCAGTTTACTGGATAAGCAACAGTATTCTTCACCTTCATTTTCCCAAGTGTTACTACGAAAACGATGTTCTACCCAAGTTCCCATACTAATAGTTACCAAGAGATAATATCAGACATGAACAAGTACTGATATACCCCTGGCCATTATCAGTATGATGGGTGAGAAAGCCTGCTATAAAGTCACTGTTTTTCACTATTGGGGTCATGTAAGTAAAGAGTTACTTTGAGTAGATTTGGACAGGGAAGGTGTTCACCATGTTTCCTTCCTGCCTGACTTCCTGAGCTCACAGTTCCCAGGACTAGGCAGTTAAAAAGTGAGAATGACCCCACCACACCATCCCAAACAATGGCCATGTCTGCAGAAAGATTGGAGGTTTCCTACGGATGCAGGCTTCCCCCTCCTTCTCTCTAAAGCTGGCTCCTTACCAAAAGCCACTCTCACCAGGCAGCAGAAACTGATGCAACTGCTGAGCAAGAGAAGGCGGTGGGAGCACCACATGGGAAAGAGGGGGCACTGGGGAGAGCATTAGACATTACATTACCATGACTCTTTGCTGGCTAACACAGGAAAGTTACATTAAAGAATCAACAGATGTACTGGTTTTGCCCTCCGAGGGATGAGAGTCTTAATTTTCTTACTTGGTTTCTTTTGTATAAAGCATCCCGTATAGATTATAATATTTATGTTTACATATAGCTTTATGTTAAACAGTTTAACATTATCCTAGTAACTTAACGCTTTGATATAACAGAACCGATTTAGATCTTCAGGCTGGTACAAAATTACTTGGGGCCACATATGAACAGTACTGATGTAAAACATTTATTTCGGTGCAAATCTTGTGCTTCTTACACATATTTTGAACTCTGTTGTTAATCGTAACTTTTAATGCGCCCCTAATTTTATGTTTTGTGTTAATCAAAAGATATGTGTGTGTGTATATATATATATATATGAGAACTTTATTTAAAGGTAATGAATTTTCACTTGGTAGTGTAAGGTAGATTCTAAAAGCCCCTAAAAATGTATAGTATATTGTTTATGAATCATAATAAAAATAAAACCATGTATTGTGATCTTCCCATTAGTTCAATAAGTCAATAATTTTTTCAAATACCTTACTGCGTGTTGGGTGACAACGCTCTATGATGTGCCTGGTATTGTGAAATGCCCCTAATCATCTATGTCACTACTGGTGCATTTTGATTTGTCATTGCAAAAATATGAATGTTAACACAGATATGTTCTTTTCACAGGATGAAAAGCCTGAAAAACAGCCAGAAGCGCTCAGCCAGAAAGAGATTGAAAAGAAGATCAAGGACTTCAACTCCCAGATAAAAAGCAATCTTTTCATGAGTATGGTACGTAGCATGTGACCTTGTCATTAACAGGGAAACCAATTTCAGCTACTTGCAGGCAAATTGTTACCAGTTCAGTTCCGAGAACTCTTAACTGCTTACTATTCCAATTCCAAGACCCCTTCACAAAGAATTGTCATCAGAGAGAATAAAAATTAGACTGAGCTGGCAAACAAGCATTTATTTAGTACAATTAGTTTTTGTTTGCTTTTTTCCAAGATCCCAAATCATGCATAAGATAGTTTATCAGTGCATCGCAAATTAATTCTGAAGCCATATGACACCTACTATAACCCTCAAATAGGTTATAGGTTTAAAGATCTTTACAATATTATATTTTGAAAGCAATGTTTTAACCATGACATTGATACAATAAACACATGTAAGCAAGACCAACTGACGTAAAATGGTTCACCAAATTTAATTAGAATTACAGGTCAGCGATAACAAACCTTTGAAACTCCAGCTATTGTGCACTGCACCTCACATCATGCTCAGTCAACCACTTCTCTAGTGGTATGTGTGAGTTTAAGATCATGATAGCAGTCTTTACATGTTCCATGGTAGTATATATTTGCTAAACAACATCATATGGTAACTTGAGAAACAATGGATAAATTGAAAACAAAATAAAAGAACTAGATTAAAAAATCCCAAATTCTGCATCGTTGGATTTAAAAATAAAAATTATTCCTCCAAAATTGGTTCTTCCTGTAAGTTTCCAGATCTTCTCGACTCGTAGATTGATGAATAAAACCCTGTATTTAAAAAAAGCTGGCATTGTATTTTTTTTCTTTGCAATTGTGACTCATTCTGTGTGGGTTTTATTCACTAAAATGGTAATTGTAGAGAACTGACAAGATGATAACATATTTTAGACCCAAATAGTTAAGTTGAAAAAATAGCCGAGTTGAAGAGTATTTTCACTTTGGTTATTTTAACCTAAAATATGCAGTTACAGAGTGAATTTCATACTATTCCAGGTTTTGTGAATAAAACCCTTTGATACACACGTGTTCCATTCCATTAATTCCACTCTGTACTTTTCCAGAACAGAGACGGTTCTTACACTGGATTCATTAAGGTTCAGCTGAAACTTGTCCGCCCAGTTTCTGTGCCTGCCTCTAAGAAGCCTTCAACTGTGCATGATCGGAAAAGCGTAGGACGGTCCCAGCCAGTGAAGCGCCGAACTTCTTTCTACCTCCCAAAGGATGCTTCCAAACATCTACACCTGAGCTCACGCACACCAGCAAGTGAAGTCATCCAGGCACTGCTACGAAAGTTCACAGTGCTCGATAATCCCCGAAAGTTTGCACTGTTTCAGAGGACCGAGAAGGACGGACAAGGTATGTAATCGAGTCTATAACGCTAACAATGAGCGTCACCCATAAATCACAGAATATACAGAAAATGGCTCACAAGACAGACTAATATTACACACATACAACAGAAAAACCTGCATTCACAAAATATAGATGGACAAACAGTGAAATACGTATTGTGGGGAAAAAGTACCACCAAGGCTGTCAAAGATACATCCTAATAAACCTCGAGACTTGGGCTAGGATTGCTGTCTCCCCAGCTCTGTCACTATATCAGTAAGGGGACAGGGATTGAATTAATGACAGTGTATCTCCCACAAATCTTGGACAGGCTGCAATACAGATGTATATGATTTTCTCCATATAACATTTGCTTTCCTGTAACGTACGGTGAATGTTGTTCTATCTTGAGATAGCTCAAGATGGATGTGTTTTCATTTTTTGTCTAGTACTTTGATTTCTTGTTTTAGCTGCACATCTTGTTATATTTCCATGTGCATTTTAAATGATTAAAGCAAAACACATCAAAATTAAAATACTGCTGTGACAATTGGCACTTGGAATGTTATATCTCTAAGCTACTTATTTCACCACACTTCCAAGTTGCTTTCTTATTTCATCTTATTTTAGGCATTTTGTATACACTGTAGAGCTTGTTTCTGTGTGTTTCCTGTGTTGAGGACTGTTAATAATGCATCGATCTGTGGGTTTCCTTGTAGTGAACTTGCGAAAATTGTTAGACGATGAGGAACCATTAAAGCTCCGACTGCTTTCTGGGCCCTGTGACAAGACACTGAGCTTTGTGCTGAAGGAGAATGAGACTGGAGAAGTGAATGTAAGTCATTTTTAAGAAATGTTGCCCCATAATATAAGGACCATATGTAAACCCAGCGTTTGTTTCTCCTGCACACAATTCCTAATCATTACTTTGTTCTTCCTGTGCAGTGGGACGCCTTCAGCATGCCAGAGCTTCACAATTTTTTGCGCATTCTACAACGAGAGGAAGAAGAGCATATGCGACAAATTGTGCAACGCTACAACCGCTGTCGGCAGAAAATGCAAGAAGCACTAGCATCACACACACCTGGCTGAAACACGTGCTCAAGCAAAGAAAGGAGAGCATGAAGACAGCGAGACTGATCCCAATGATGCAAACATAGTATGACTGGAGACTGAGTGTGGGATGAAGAACTCCCAGGTGTTCAAGGGGGGCTGACAGATTCCCCCCAGGAGCGATGTGAGTGAAGAATGGGTGCCTGCATGGGACACGAGGAGGTGCATCTATGCCTGTGAGTGATGCACAATATGAATGAGGCTGGCAAGTGGCAAGATCTGTGTCACTTGCAGAAGCCTCCGAGCTGAATAGCTGATTCAAGAAGAAACATTACTTTTATGTTTGTGTTGTTCTTTTTGTATGTTTGTTTGTGCTACATTTACATTGTGAGGACTCTACGATAAACTGAGCCTTTAAAATACAGCTGGCCAATCAACTGGTCACAGAAGGGGAAGTAATTATTTGTGGTCTTGAACCTGGTACCGTTTCTGTTTTTCACTGTGCACTATACACCCATAAAAGGTTTTTGCATGGCATATGCTCCGTGTTTATATTATTGCTACACTACCTAACATTAATTTAGGGACCCTTTTTCAGCAAATGTCTGCTACCAATTCTTTAAGTGTCCAATAAAATGGTTGTGGAAAATTTAACACCTTCAGTCATTTCAAAATATGTGATATTAATAAAGAATTTATGAACAATAAATTGAGGATCAACTGCACATCACCCTAATGTCCAGGACACACACATAAGTTCAAACATGTAAATCTTCAGTTGCTTGCCTCTTTGTAACTTGCAGTGAGGAGTAAACCAAGAATCAGTGACATCTTGGTGCCAGATATATATTTGTTTGTACCCTCTGTGCGTGAGGCTAATGCATGTGGATAAATGGGTGAATTTGGCTGAAGGTAGGTGACTTGATATTTTACTTAGTGGAACTGGATGGCTAAGTAAATGTAACTGGATGACTCCGTGAATAGGCCTGTGTGGGTACCTTGGTGAATGTGACTGGGTGGCTTGCTGGATGCATGTATTTGACCAGGAGGCTTGTTAAATGAATGTAATGCCCAAAGCAACAATATTGATGCATACTCACACTTTGTAATCAAACGCACTAGACATGGAGAAGCTAAGGCCAACAGATGAGAGATGGCCCTGTTTTTTATTTTTTTTTAAATTCTTTATTTTACTCGTGCAAAAGGATAACAAGGAACAATGTGCCACAACAGCACGCTTTCATATAACAACAATGGGTTTGTACAGGGCACTGAGCGAGCTGCACATTTTTATTTTTTATAGAAAAGTGAGGGCTATGTTAACATCTGGCAGGCTAGCCTATCAACCTAGTCTTCAGCATGGTGTTAACAGTAATTATAAACTCTTTATGTTTCTGTGCGGAGGGAAAGGATCATTGATAAGCAGTATCATTGGTAAGTCTCCTAATACATGTGTTTTGGTTAGACGGACCACACAGATTGAATTTTAGAGGTGTACTCATGTGTCACAGTTAGCTTAAGTCCTGTAGGGGTTTATGAGGGCCAGTGGTCGTCTCACATGTGGTAGGATACCCTTCTAGGTGGGGGCGTTCTGGGAGTGCGCCTTGGGCCTATGGTGGTAGCCTGTGGGTGAGGAAATAGAGGTAAAGTATAACCGAGAAAGGAACATAAATGAACACATAAAAAAGTCAATTAGTGCCTTTAAACGTCATCTGTTGGTGTGGTCACCTCTCCCGGCAGTTCGGGATCAACCGGTTTCAGCAGATTGTCCAGGGCCATTCAGGTAGTGACTGTCTCATAGGCATCTGGCTTTGTCCCCCTGGGTACAAAAGGGCGCACTGTGTGGGTTGCTGAGACCATGGTGTGTGGTTGGGCTGTTTTCAGAGCATCCTTAGGTAGTCCCAAGCTAGGCAGCAGGCAGCTCGCTTCTCGTAAGTCCCGGACAGGGTGTGTTGCGGTGCCATGTTGGACCTCCACCATTGTTGTGATTTCCATCTGTATGAGATGCCTTTGGCTCGGAGCAGGAATGTGAAGGCTTGTAACGATCTTCTCCATGCCATGGTATATCCTGATAAGTACCTATAGAACGAGAGCTGCAGTCCTTCAAAGGGGTAAGGTGAATGGTTCTGGACCATTCCCATGACTGCTGATCTATCCTTGCTGCTCTGGAATCTCACCAGTAAGTCCCTTGGTGATGGCCCTGTTTTTAAACTAATGTCAGAGGTTACAAAATAGGCCAATGTGCACTGCAGTGAGAATACCCAAACATGCATCATAGCAGCTCCATGCCTGAAAAACCCATCACCTGGAGAGAGTGGAGAAGCCACGGAAAGGCATGGAGTTGGGCCACTTTGCAGTGCAGCTGCACCCATATCCTAGTGTGTTCACTGCAAATTTACACTGCCCTGGGCTTCTGGCTCTTTTCCTTACAGCCATACAGAATACAGCGCACTCACTCAACACCAACTTCAGAGTTCACAAAATGACTTAGGCAAAATAATGGGCATTTAGTTACAGTATATGATCATACACTACATAACCCTGCCTCAAGGCCAATGTACCCTTTTTTTGTCAGGTCCAGCTCTAGAACCTAATGTCTGCTCTTATGAACATGCTTACTTTGAAAATCAATGTTCTTGAGGTTCTTTGCAATGCAAGATTAAACACAGTCCTGGAATCAGGCACAGGGAGAGGTGCAAAAGTAAGGGAGTTGGTCTGGAGTCCAAAATGCATACATATTGTGGCAAACCTAGCCTAGACAATATACAGAGACTATGGCTTTAAGGGTTGCCTATATGGTTTTGGTGATGTGTATGTTCCTGGGTGTAATGTACTGTGATTGTATAGTATTGTATTGCCTGCATTGGCTATCTGCCGAAAGCAGATAGCTGTATTTCATTTCGTTTCACGAACAGCACCTTTGCGGGCTGTTCATGAACCGAATAGACCAACCTGTAATAGCCCACACATTAAGAGACGTGTGGCGCTTGTTAACATTGTTGCAATCGGTAATTAGAGGCTCTCCTAGGTGGCCGTCGTTCGACTACCAACCACGTGGCAGGCGGCCATCTTGGATCCTTTTTTCCTCCAGCGGTGTTCGGTCGTCGAGCGCATGGTACTGAAAACAGCTACTCGACGTCGCGAACCCCGCTGGACTTCCAGGCCGTTCGGGAGTTACGGGACTTTCGGTAATTTACTCCCTGTATGGCAATCAGTCGTTTGAATGTAAATGTTGGTGAATATGTTTTTTGTGCGGCGTTCGGTTGTTTTAGCTGGGATCTGAGCGGTAATCTCACGAATTATGTGCTCAGACCCCAGCTATCTACCGAACGTCCATTCGTTAAAATCACCCCAATATTGGGGAAGTTATGCATTTTTATGTGAATTGTCGGTTCTGCTGCACGGAGGGATAATCCACTTAACTGTACATTCCAGTGGGAGGATCCCTCTTGTGCAGCAGTGCCTGATGGGAGAAATGCTCTGTACATTAAGTTTCCCATGTAGTCCACTCCTGTAATGCCCCTGGGATGTGACTCAGGAAACCCCTTGCATGGGGAATTGTATAAATTCTGGAGCATGTGAATAAAGCCTCAGTTGACTCTCAGAACTGTGTTTCGTCCGGTTACTGGGAGATTTGGCATATTGCCTTACTTTTCAGCGCTTGACTGTGGATTACCTTTTTAACCAGCGGAGATCGTGGGATTTAATATTGCCGCTCCACTACAATTGGTGGCAAGCGATGGGATCCAACCTTACAGCCGAAAAGCGCATTTGGATGAAAAGAAACAACCGAACAAGGAAAGGGAATGGCAATTCGTATGCAGCAAACAGCCGAAAGAGAACAGTGAATGGAGACTGATTACGCTACATTGAAAAGGCAGACACTGAAGGAACTGCTGGAAGCTAGAGGAAAGATAGCTAGCAACAAATCCAAAGCCGTGCTGATCGCTGAACTGATGGAGGGCGACCGGGCTCACAACAGCACAACCCCACCAGCCAGGGAAGAAACCCCGTACCAAAGGGAACTGAGAACCCGGCTGGAGTTTTTACCGCAGCCAGTACCCCTGGATATCCTGACGGTCCTGATGGCTGATGTGCAGGAGTATATGATGGCACAACACCACCCGGGGGCACGGTCCAGGGCAGAATCCATTACTGCCTCCATCTGCAGTCAGGTAAAACCAAAAATACCTTACCATGCCTTCAAAATGTTCTGTGAGGAGAAGGATGAAATTGATGGATACTTGCAGGACTTTGAACGACTATGTGACCTGCACGACCTAGAGCAGACAGTGTGGGTGCCCCTGCTAGCAGGAAAATTGGCAGGGCGGGCAGCAGAGGCCTATCGCGCTGTCCCTAGGGAAGACAGCAAAGACTATTCCAAAGTAAAAAGGGCCATACTTGAGAGGTATGCCATTACGCCAGAAGCATATCGGCGCAAATTCCGTGGATTGCGCAAACCAGATAAAGATTCGCACGCAGAGTGGGCGCACAAGCTGGACCAAGCCTCTCAGGGGTGGATACAGGCAAGCCAAGCCACCACCATGGAAGAACTGCGCCAACTTATGCTGTTGGAACAATTTTTCAACGGACTATCCCTGGAAGCACAAGAATGGGAGAGAGACCTGAAGCCGCCAGGTTGGCGGACCAACATTTTGATGCCAGAAGACATCATGGGCCGGTTAATCGGAGCTACCCAAGACCTCCTGTACAACGCAGCACGGTAACCCCCGCAACCGTCAACCTCACTCCGTTTAGACCAGCCCAAGGGAACCCACCACCTCCCTCTCGCTACAACGGCCGATCTAATATTCAGTGCCATACCTGCCGACAGTGGGGACATATGTCCAGAGAATGTACACAGAACCGGAGCAGACAAGCGTGGAACCAAGTGAGGCAGAACTCAACACCCAGGGCAGCGGCACATCACTACCAGGTGGAACCTGACACCCAAGAGTTGCTGAGCCTGCAGACAGAGGAACCCCTGGGCATTTTACACGAGGTGATGTCTGTACAGGCCACTGACAACAGGCAACACCATCGCCAAGTCGTGTTTGTAGGAGGCAAGGAAGTACAGGCACTATGTGACTCAGGAGCCACCTTGACTCTGGTGGCTCCACATTTAGTTCCGTATACCGCTCACACTGGCGGGTCTGTGGCAGTCCGGGTGGCGGGGGGAGCAATGTACCGCCTACCCACTGCAAAGGTGCATTTGAACTGGGGTGCTGGGGAGGGGGTCGTGGAAGTGGCTATCATGAAAAAATTACCCGCGGATGTGGTATTGGGGAATGACTTGGGCTGGATGACTTCTGCATTTGTACCTCAGGCCCCTCTACAAGAAGCGCATCCTGTGACCACTCGGCAACAGGCTCGCACCACGGTTCCACCAACGCACTCTGAGACTCAGGTAAGAGACCATGACCCACCCTTGACCCATATGACCTGGGACACCCCGACCACTTTTGAAGCCGAGGTTCAGACAGACCCCACGTTACAGGTATACCGGGATAGGGTAAGCACTTATCAGGCCGGGCTAGAGGGGGAATGGTATATCTGGGAGAAAAGACTGTTATACCGGGTAGCAGAGAGAGTGATAGGGGGCTCTGTCACGGTAAAAACCAAACAGCTAGTAGTTCCCCAAAAATATAGACAAGAGCTCTTGAGGATAGCTCACGATATTCCCATTTAGGGATGACCCGTACCTGTTATCGGCTGACACACGCCTTCTTCTGGCCGGGAATTTCCAAAGACGTGAGGCATTACTGCACCTCATGTAACATATGTCAGCGAGTAGGTAAGAGGGGGGACCGCCACAAAGCGAAACTGTGCCCCCTGCCCATTATTGAGGAACCTTTTTGCTGCGTGGCCGTAGACATGTGTTTTTATCTTTCATATACGGATTCCCTGGAAATTCGGAAGGATTAACCTCTGAGGACTATATATACAGTTTATCTACATATCAGTGAGACGCCTTTTATGTATTTTATTGGACTTTTTAAGTTTTATTCTTATTAGTGCACGAACTCTGTTTTATCCATATATTTATTATCTTTTTTACTGTTTATTCTATTTGTATTATACCATTTTAATATCCACTTATTTTAAATTTTTTAGCGCATTCCCTTTTTAGGGTTGCAGCTCCCATTTTTGCTATCTAGCGCAGACTCCTCCCCCCTTTTTTTCCATAGTAGGGCCACTACCTAAGCCTAGTCCCTCTGGGAAACGGTATATCCTAACCGTGGTGGACTATGCCACCCGGTACCCCGAAGCCATCGCTCTGCCCAACATTTACGCTGAAACAGTAGCAGAGGCCTTGATGAAAATCTTCTCTAGGGTAGGGTTCCCTCAGGAGATAATCTCTGATAGGGGGACCCAATTCACAGCCGAGGTCACCCAGCAATTATGGAAGATATGTGGCATTAAGCCGATCGTCAACTCTGCTTACCATCCCCAATCCAAGGGGTTATGCGAAAGATTCAATGGTACCCTAAAGCAGATGCTCCGTACGTTTGGAGAGGCTCATAAGGACTGGGAATGATTTCTTCCCCATCTGCTATTTGCTTATAGGGAAGTACCACAAGAATCAACTGGCTTTTCCCCGTTTGAGTTGTTATTTGGGAGAAGAGTACGGGGACCGTTGGACCTAATTAGAGAGCATTGGGAGGGAGAGAGTAGCACAGATGGGACCCCTATTGTACCATATGTGCTGGCGTTCAGGGACCGCTTGGAGGAATTGACCCAGGCTGTCTGCACCAACCTCCAGACGGCCCAACAAGGGCAGCGCCGCTGGTATGACAGCGGGGCCAGAGACTGTAGTTTTCAAGTGGGACAGAAGGTGTTGATTTTAAAACCCGTCCGCACAGACAAAATGCAGTCCGTCTGGCAGGGCCCATACCAGGTGGTAGAGCAGAGATGCGACACCACCTATGTGATCGGCCCATGCTGCGGGGTAGGGAAGAGACGCATGCTCCATGTGAACATGTTCAAACCCTACCACGAGAGGACTGAAGACGTGGCCACCATATGCACACCCGCCTCGGAAGATCAGGAGAATCTGCTCCTACCTGATCTGCTAGAGCAGGACGAGCAAGCAGAGCCCTCCAAGGGGGTTCAACTGGGGGAGCGGCTAAGCCCTCAAGAGCGAACCCAGGTACAAGAGTTGATAGTGGCGAAAGGCACCACTTTCTCCAACTTGCCTGGGTACACTCCGCTGGCCACCCACCGAGTTGAGACCCCTGGACAGCTACCGATGCGGCAAACCCCATATCGGATTCCTGAATCCATCAGGGAACACATGAGAAAATAAATTGATGAAATGTTGCAGTTAGGGGTTATCGAACACCCAGATAGCCCCTGGGCATCACCAGTAGTCCTGGTACCCAAAAAAGGATAGTACAACCCGGTTTTGTGTGGACTACCGGAGGCTGAATGACAAAACGGTGTCTGATGCCTTCCTGATGCCCCGGATCGACGAGCTGCTAGATAGGATGGCAAGGGGCCAGATTCCACTAGCCGAGGATGCCACCCCCAAGTCGGCGTTTGTCACCCCGTTTGGCCTGTATCAGTTTAGGGTCATGCCATTCGGGATGAAGAACGCCCCGGCAACCTTTCAGCGGATGGTAGATCGGCTACTGGATGGGTTCCAGGATTATGCATGCGCATACCTGGACGATATCGCCATATACAGCCAGACCTGGGCCGAGCATCTACAACACATAGGGGCCGTAATAGATCGTATTGGAGAGGCAGGATTGACACTGAAGCCTAGCAAGTGTCACATAGGGATGGCCGAGGTGCAGTATTTAGGCCACCAGGTAGGAAGTGGGCAACAAAAACCTGAGCCAGCGAAAATTGAAGCCGTAGATAAGTGGCCCACCCCTAGGACCAAGACCCAAGTCCTCGCTTTCCTGGGTACCGCCGGGTACTATAGAAAATTCGTGCCCAATTACAGTGCCCTGGCCAAACCCTTAACTGACCTGATGCGCAAGAACTTACCCCGACAGGCTGTCTGGGCCCCAGAGTGTGAACAGGCATTCAACCAACTTAAGACGGCTCTAACTAATGCACCTGTACTTGCTGCTCCTGATCCAACTAAACGCTTTCTTGTCCACACAGACGCTTCAATGTTTGGATTGGGAGCAGTACTGAGCCAAGTTGGAGCAGATGGCGGAAAACTTATTTAAGCCAGAAGTTGTTGCCCCGAGAAGTGAGCTACGCCGCCATCGAAAAAGAATGCCTGGCCGTGGTGTGGGCCCTGAAAAAGTTACACCCATACCTCTATGGGCAACCCTTTTCCTTGCTCACAGATCACAACCCGTTGGTGTGGCTAAACCGTGTGGCTGGAGACAACGCCAGGCTGCTGCGCTGGAGTTTGGCGCTGCAGCCTTTTGACTTTACAATCCATTATCGCCCTGCGAAGCAAAACGGTAACGCCAACGGGTTATCTAGACAAACTGACCTGGAGAAGTGATCTGTGAGCCCTCCTCCAGACATCCCCAAGCCGATCCGTTGGGATCAGACTGTGTATGCCGGCTTGGTTCTGGGGGAGCATTGTGGCAAACCTAGCCACTTTGACAATATACAGAGACTATGGCTTTAAGGGTTGCCTGTATGGTTTTGGTGATGTGTATGTTCCTGGGTGTAATGTACTGTGATTGTATAATATTATATTGCCTGCATTGGCTATCTGCCGAAAGCAGATAGCTGTATTTCGTTTCGTTTCACGAACAGCACCTTTGCGGGCTGTTCGTGAACCGAATAGACCAACCTGTAATAGCCCACACATTAAGAGACAATGTTGCAATCGGTAATTAGAGGCTCTCCTAGGTGGCCGTTGTTCGACTACCGACCACGAGGCGGTCGGCCATCTTGGATCCTTTGTTACTCCAGTGGTGTTCGGTCGTCGAGCGTGTGGTACTGAAAACGGCTACTCGATGGCCGTTCGGGAGTTACGGGACTTTCGGTAATTTACTCCCTGTATGGCAATCAGTCGTTTGAATGTAAATGTTGGTGAATACGTTTTTCACGCGGCGTTCGGTTATTTTAGCTGGGATCTGAGCGGTAGTCTCACAAATTATGTGCTCAGACCCCAGCTATCTACCGAACGTCCATTCGTTAAAATCACCCCAATGTTGGGGAAGTTATACATTTTTATGTGAATTGTCGGTTCTGCTGCACAGAGGGATAATCCACTTAACTGTACATTCCAGTGGGAGGATCCCTCTCGTACAGCAGTGCCTGATGGGAGAAATGCTCTGTACATTAAGTTTCCCATGTAGTCCACTCCTGTAATGCCCCTGGGATGTGACTCAGGAAACCCCTTGCACGGGGAATTGTATAAATTCTGGAGCATGTGAATAAACCCTCAGTTGACTCTCAGAACTGTATTTCGTCCGGTTACTGGGAGATTTGGGATATTGCCTTACTTTTCAGCGCTTGACTGTGGATTACCTTTTTAACCAGCAGAGATCGTGGGATTTAATATTGCCGCTCCGCTACACATATAAACAAGGAAGGCTTAACTCACATGAACATACATAAATTATAAACATGCACTGGGTGAATACCAGCTACTAAGCTTTTAAAATGTAATTTAAAAAAAATTAAAAAATGTAAACACCGGACTTGGGCAAACATAATGGGGATTTAATTATAGTTTGTCATCATACATTGCATAAGCCTGCCACCATGTCAATGTAGTCCACTTTTCTTTACAGCCACCAGTGTTCTTAACAATTTAGCTGGGCAGGAGTGTGTAGTGATAATCGACAGGAGCTGCTGACTTAATCCATTTTCTATTAAAGTTGTGATTAATGTTATTTGGTAAATCAAAATAAATGATGGTGGGTGGGTGGCCTCCCAATGGATTTCAAAGTTGCACGGGGTTGGGGGAGAAGGGGGGGGAGGAGTTTCCTAGGTTAAGGAACACTGTACTCACTATAACAAGTTAATCAAATTAAAGTTGTTATTTTGACTACAGAAGTTTCCTCCTTTAATTTGCTTCCAGAATGTAATATTTTTGACTTGAAAGTGCAGCATCAAGCCAGACCTCCAAGCCCTCTGCATAGGAGAGCCAGGCATATCGTGACCACACACATGATATGTTACACACCGAGATGAGGGTGGAGAAGTATCTTTGGTGAGAAAGAGGATACAGGTGTAGGAATGCAATATAAATTTTTAGTACAGAAAGTAAGGCTTCCTCCAGTAACGTTCCAACACCCACAAGCACCTTTGGAGGTGTTGGGTGGATTTAGTGTGCCAGCAGTGGCGTACATACCAGGGTCGCAGGGGTCGCGGCTGTGACCGGGCCCGGCCCACCAGGGGGCCCGGCCGCCCCTGCGACCCGGTATGTACCCAAAGGGCCAGCCTCTTCCCCTGGGGGGCCCAGGAGCCGACCACCCCAGGGCCCCCCGAGGCTGGCCCTGCTGTCACCCGGAAGGCGGGTGGCCGGTCGGGCAGGCAGGTGGGCGCACGAGGGAGCACTCACTGCTTCCTCTTCAGCTCCCCTGTAGCGCGCCGCACTGATACGGGCGAAGATGGCGTCATCTTCGGCGCGGCACATACAGCGATGATGGCGAGGGAGCTGGCGAATATCGCCCTTCCCGCCACTCCAACAGCCCACCGCCAACAGCACTGGACCCCAAGGGAATCCCCAGCACTCCAAAAGGTAGGGAAGGGGGATTACAGCTAAAACAAAACAAACGTGTTAGAGTGAGTGTTAGTGTGTGTGTTAGAGTGAGTGTTAGTAGTGAGTGTTAGAGTGAGTGTGTGTTAAAGTGTGTGTGTGTGTGTGTGTGTGTGTGTGAGTTAGTGTGTGTGAGGTGTTAGTGTGTGTTGGTGTGTGTGTGTGTGTGTGAGTTAGTGTGAGTGTGTGTGAGTGAGTGTTGGTGTGTGTGTGTGAGTTAGTGTTAGAGTGAGGTGTTAGTGTTAGTGAGTGTTAGAGTGAGTGTGTTAAAGTGTGTGTGTGTGTGTGAGTTAGTGTGTGTGTGTGTGTGTGTGAGGTGTTAGTGTGTGTGTGTGTTAGTGTGTGTGTGTGTGAGTTAGTGTGAGTGTGTGTGAGTGAGTGTTAGTGTGTGTGAGTGAGTTAGTGTTAGAGTGAGTGTTAGAGTGTGTGTGTTAGAGTGTGTGTGTTAGAGTGAGTGTGTGTGAGTTAGTGTGTGTGTGTGTGTGTGTGAGTTAGTGTGTGTGTGTGAGTGAGTGTTAGTGTGTGTGTGTTAGTGTTAGAGTGAGCGTTAGAGTGTGTGTGAGTGTGTGTGAGTGTTAGAGTGAGTGTTAGAGGGAGTGAGTGTTAGAGTGAGTGTGTGTGAGTGAGTGTTAGCGTGTGTGTGTGAGTTAGTGTGAGTGTTAGAGTGTGTGTGTGTTAGAGTGAGTGTTAGAGTGTGTGTTAGTGTGAGTGTGTGTGAGTGTTAGAGTGAGTGTTAGTGTGTGTGTCTGCTAGTGAGTGTCAGCGAGTGTGTTACTGTGTGTGTTAGTGAGTGTGTTTGATGTCTGTTAGTGAGTGTGTTTGTCAATGAGAGTGTATGTTTTGTAAGTGAGTGAGTGTGTATGTATGTCTGTCGCTGAGTGTGTCTCTGTTAGCTAGTGTGTATGCGTCTGTAAGTGTGTGTGTGTGTGTGTCTTCAGCACTTACCTTTCTCTAGCGCCGGACTCCCTTGTCGCTGGGGATCCCTCAGCCTCCCAGCTCCGAATGCGACCGCACATGCATTCAAACCGACGTTCAGTGTGCTCCTCTAGCGGCTGTCAGTGAGACAGCCACTAGAGGCTGAATTAACCCTCAGTGAAACATAGCAGTTTCTCTTAAACTGCTATGTTTTCAGCTGCAGGGTTAAAACTAGAGGGACCTGACACCCAGACAACTTCATTGAGCTAAAGTGATCTGGGTGTCTGTAGTGGTCCTTTAAGTGTGTGTGCATCTGCATGCACTGGCGTACATACCTCGGTCGCAGGGGTCGCAGCCCTGTAACCCCTGCGACCAGGTGCCCACCGCCATGTGTTGCGGCCCGCGCGCGGAGGATGGGGGCCCACGGATCAATTTTCGCAACGGGGCCCCATGGGTCATGTGTACGCCACTGTGTGCCAGTGCTGGTGTTTAGTCTGATGGAAAGGGGGCAGGCAGTGATTGAATGTAGCTTATCTAGGGTACTTGATAAGGTAGAGTTGTAGAGGGTAGTTGCCACAGAAAGACATGTGGCAGTTGGGATTGGTGAGAGGAAAGGCTGGAAGTCAATGGGAAGCTGCTGCAGATCAAGAGATTTCAGTTTCCTGTAGAGTTTAGGTGTGGCACTTAAGGGTGGTTGGAAGGGGACAAGATAAGAAAGCAGCTTAGATAGATACAGGAAAAGGTGTGATAATTAGTAGTTAGTGATAAAACAAAGATTTGAGAAAATAAGGTCTAAATTGTTGCTGGCTTGATGCGTTGGGGAATTGGACCACTACTGAGAAATTTAGTGCCCTCAGAGGTAGTCACTGAATAGTTGGCCAGGAGGGTGGTAGATAACCTTAATGTATAGTGAGAAGGGGTGCAAAAAGCAGATGGCATGGATCAGAAAGAGAATGAATGTACAAATGGAAGAAGTTAAAAGGTACAGAGAGGTGAGAGGAGACCCACACTGCCACCCTTGCAGTCACCAGGTCTGGGAGTAGTCGAGAGTTGAAGGCGCCCATAAAAGTGTAGCAGTGGTAGCACCACCAGAGGGGGAGAGCCACGTTTCAGTGCGGGCCAGAAGATGGAGGTAGTAAGAAATAATCAAGTTGTAAATAAAAGCTGATTTGAGAATGCTACAAACAGAAGTGATTACAGAGGGTGCAGTAAAAAGGGGGAGCAGAGGTGGAGCCAGAGGGAATCTGTATAACATTAGAAGGGTTCATATTGGAAAGCAGGGCCAGGGGGGATGTCCTCAGCTGCCAGGAAGAAGTGAAGAGAAAGTGGGAGTGATATTTGAAGGTGCAATTTAGTATTGGGGTCTAGAAGAATGGGTACAAGGAGGAGGGAGAGCTTGTGTAGAAGAGTAGGAGAAGGGTACGTTCCAGTTTTTAGACAGTAACTTATCTTTGTGTATTTTTCTTGTTTTGAATCATATGTTTCTTTCATGTCTTATTATTATCGCTTATAATTATATAGTGCCAACATAGTCTGCAGCTCAGCATAATTGGTAAAAAATACATGAAAGTAAAAGTGACACAACAGGTTAGGCAGACAGGAGGAAGAGGGGATAACTGTCCTGTTCAAACAAGCTTAATTTCTAAAGGGAGTGGGATATAATTATTCAAAACACATTTAGCACTAATCTATCACCTGTCTCATTAAGAAGGCAAGACACTTTTAGGTTTATTCATTAAATAGGGTGTTTTAGATAAATGACAACAAAGCATTTTCTAAATCAGATATTTTGTTTCCAAGTCAGATGTTTTAACCTAATATTTGCTTTTTCATTAAAAGTCTCCACACTTTCTTGTTTACTGAATCTATGTAGCACCTGTCCATAGACTACATTATTATTTTCTTAAAAGCTTTATATTTTAAATTTTATTAGTAGACCTTCTTTTATTTCAGTTTTCATTCTTTATCTTTTATTAAATTGTTTATTAGAGAAATGTCAATAGAACAGACCTGCAAGGAATAGGACTTTTAGATTTGTCATAAAATTATGACAACAAAAATATGGGCATAAAATAGAACATGGTTTACATCTTTAACCCCTTTATCAGTTTAAACATTTTTATATTCATGTATTTTTCAGTATGACATTTACTCTATAAAAGCTCACTCACCCTCATTTCAACTCTATTAATGATTAATAGTCTGTAGAGGAACACATTTTTCTGCCATAAGCAACTAGTTACTGGTAATAAATTTACTGAAAAGGTCAGCCCACCCCTGCTTCCAAACAGTACAGGAAATTTAAATGGGACATATCATTTCTACAGTCATGAGAGCCAGTGGCGTCTCTAGGATTCATTTTTCGGGGGGGCACATGGAGGGCCAGTGACAAAAGTAGGGGGGCACATTTAACCCCGCCCTCGTCGCAGTTTGACCCTGCCCCTGTCGCATGTTAAGCCACACCCCCAACACAATGTGTGTTTTTTTTTAATAATACCTGGTGGAGGATTCATTTTTTCCACCAGGGATTATTAAAAAAACAAACACATTATCCTTGATACAGTGCCATAGTTGCCAACATTTGAAAAAAAATGTCCAAGGACATTTTGCAGCACAGCTATCAATTACTGTCTGGGTATAATTTCCCTGGACAGTCAGTGCTCTCTGTATAATACAGGGTTGTGTGTATAATAAATTGGGACACTCAGTGCTCCCTGTATAGTGCTGCTCTCTGTATAATACAGATCTGTTTGTGTTTAATATCCCAAGACAGAGAGCAGCACTATACAGGAAGCACTGATTATCCAAGGATATTTTATACACACAGATCTGTATTATACAGATAGCTGAGCATAAACCCCAATCTCTAGACTACTAGTACCTGTCAACAGCAGCTCCCAGACGCGTGTAACAGGGCTAAAGTGTGCGGCAGCTCACACAGATTATTCAGCGGTAAAGTACACTTGCTGGCAGAGCCAAACTGGGAATCCCTGGGAATCCAAAGCAGCCCTGGAAAAAAAACGTATGCCATTCCTACAAGTCAAAAAATATATATATATATATATATATATATATATATATATATATATATATATATATATATATATATATATATATATATATATAGTACAGTAAGCACACAAGCTCACTGACATGCGCAAATAGGCTTACTGACAGACAAAACTCTCTGACTCACACACAAGCTTACTACAGACACTCACTTGTATAAACAGAAGGCTGCTGAGTCCATACACACACACACACACACACACACAGACTGCTGAGTCCATACACAAACACACACTCTGCTGAGTCCATACACAAACACACACAGACTGATGAGTCCATACACACACACACACACAGACTGATGAGTCCATACACACACACACACACACACACAGACTGCTCAGTCCATACACACACGAACTGCTTTGAGGATTTTCGCCCACACACACACACACACGCACCACTGAGTCGGCACACACACACAGACTGCTGGGTCCATACACACACCACCCACAGACTCTGCTGCGGTCCATACACACACCACGGGCGCTGAGTCCATACACACACACACAGACTATGCTGAGTCTACTTCACACCCCACGAGAGACTCGCCGCTGAGTCCATACTTTTACACACACAGGAGCCTGGCGAGTCCACATACACACACACACAGACTGCTGAGTCCACATACACACACACACAGACTGCTGAGTCCATACACACAGACACAGACTGCTGAGTCCATACACACAGACACAGACTGCTGAGTCCATACACACAGACACAGACTGCTGAGTCCATACACACAGACACAGACTGCTGAGTCTATACACAGACACAGACTGCTGAGTCTATACACAGACTGCTGAGTCTATACACAGACTGCTGAGTCTATACACAGACTGCTGAGTCTATACACAGACTGCTGAGTCCATACTCACACAGAGACTGCTGAGT